AGGAAGAGCTTCATCGTGGATTGACTAATGCGCTGATTGCGTGTTACAACCGGTATCTATTGTGTGGAGGATGATGTATCCCAAGTACTGATGCCAAGGCAGCACGCGCCTTCACCGTACATAGCTGCGTAAGGAGAGAGCATTGACAGGGTAGCAAATTGCACGGCTACACGAGCCTCCGCAAGAAGCGGCGGTCTTGTATTCCGCTGAAGCACATCACTGTGGAAATTGAGAAAATCTTCATTTACAGGAAGAAGGGAAAGAAAAGGATTTAATCAGATTTGATAACAGCTCCCTTGGCAAGGAGACATCTTCATGTAGGGTGCACCAAGTCACGAGCTGAGCTTTACAGACACTCGGCTGGTCCCTGTCAGCGCGCAGAGCTATGGCTGAGATCTGTCTCCGCTAGTCATCCGTAGCTTTGCCACCGGTTGCTCATTTCTTTTTATTTTTCTTCTGCTCCATCCAATATCGCTCCCTACTGCGCCCAAAAGGAACCTGTCATATTTTTCTTTTCTTTTCTTCATCTGGTTTCTCCCTCTGCAAAATCTTTTATTGACTCCTAGTCAGGGAGAAAGACGCCACGCCGCCAACTCACATATCACTATTGGCAGAAGGGCAGCCATAGCTCTGCCAAGGACAGCGCATGCTGCGAACAAGCACGAGCAAGGCACATCAATCCAGCCATAGTGTGATCCGGGTTCCCCAAGAAACAGACAAACAAACTTGGGATTTGGTAGCTGTTCCAATCATGCAGTGTCTCGGCTCCGGTGGGCAACCAACACATGCATCATGCATACCAAAAGAAGACGTCTATGCGTCCATGACACGACGACGACGCCGACGACGCAGAAGAGGCAGTTCGTCAGGTTGTTTGCGCCATTCTTGGCGAATCGATTGGCATGTGCCTCGCAACGACAAGGTGCCTGGTCCTGCGGTTGCACGACATGCTGGATATGAACTATTAGATACCCGTTGACTTGCTTACCTACGGTACCTACTAGTGCTTCGCAGGAGGAGAAGCTGGTATTAGTACTACCGAGTTCTGAAGTGGCATGTAAGTGGCAGCACAACCTATCTTGGGTATACCTGCTGCCGCCGGTATCTTACTACTAAGTAAAGACTGAACTGATAAACCGACACCCCGGGGATTTTCTGGGTCGGGTAAGTACCTAAATCTCTTCTAGCATCTCGGGGAAGGATGCCGTATAGGTGCGAATTTAAAGAGACAACAAGCAGAAGGGAGACAAGAAGTGGATAACCATCTGGAGGATAAGCCTGCTCCGGCTAATGATCAGGCCCCTTTGCTCGGGACTGTGACTCGTCGCATACGAGTTCTAGTACTTGTATGTAATAGGTGCTACCAGCAAGACGAGGAGGCCTTGGACGGATTGCATTAGCGCAATGTACGAGGAACGCCTCAGCAGCAGCTCAAACCCTGCTGCAGCACAAGCGGAGCCCATCTCCCATGCAGCGCGGCCCCGATAGGCCTGAAGAGGGCGATTGCATGTTCACCGGTCGACGCAGTGTGCTGAGACATTGGCGGCAATCCGGGACAGAGACCGGGTGGCCAAGAGTTGTCAAGGCACTCTCGCATGGAGTAATGAGGGCTTGCACGGGATGAGATGGACCGGACCAGCCAGCTGTCGCTGCTGCTGCTGCTGCTAATGCTGCTAATGCTGCTAATGCTGCCGATGCTGCCAATACTGCTACCTGGATGCTGGGTTCGAGCAGGTTGTTTGGCATCGGTTTCTGTGCATCATGCGCCCGCGGATGCGGGCCAAGGAGTGAGAGCTGAGAAAAAGTAAAGAGAAAAAGAAACGAAAGATGACGATTAGAGTGAGATACTTGGATGCACGATGTTAGCGGACTGGCGCTTGGTACCTGGTCATTAACAGGTTTTGGGACCCGTAGGATTATAGGTGCTACCCATGCCGCAAGAGGTATACAGTACGCACTTCTACCACTACTACCTCTCCAGCACCCGCGCGATGATTTTCAGCAGGCCCCCAGCCCTCCGAGGGCTCCCCACGCGGCACCGTAGCGGATCTGCTGGCCTTCATTTTCGCATCAATCTGCCGGGTTGCTGCAGCCCACCCAATCAGATCTTAGCGAGGCTCGATGCCGCATCCAGCCTAGCGCCCACAGCTGATCTGATTGGCTGCTTTTCCTCCCTTGCGCTAACCGGCTCTAACGCAACCTCCTCCTCTCGTCAACAAGCTGCGACGGCGTCCGAAAAAAAGAAACGTTTTCTGCGCCATCAAAAGGTCTCGCGGCGATTAGGAGCCGCGCCACTATCAATCTTTTTTTTTTTTTTTTTTTCCTTTACTGATGCTAACGCTAGCTTTCCTTTCTTTTCATTATCCTCTGTTCCGCGGTTGTATTTAGCGCCTGCGAAAGAGGGGAGCACAGTGCCCATCATGGCCTGTGGAAGTGACGGCGGCCTGACAATGTCACCACTTTTTGTCCACAGCAACTGGCACTAACGCTGCTGCCACGTCTCGGCCCAACGTAGCCGATGATGATTCTGATGATTCTGATGAGGATGGGATAAGAGTGAAAACTGATAGTTCTGGTTAGCACTAGCATTGGCGAATCTCACCGGCATGGCGAGGGCTGGACGCCATCTCGAGGGCACGCCTTGGATGAGAGCTTGGGCCAAGTGCTTCGCGGAGTCCATCCGGCACTGCACGGCGGGCTCAGCCGCGAGGCAAGGAGGTCTCTCTGCTCTTTGATGTCTGGGATTTGCCCTATGACTGCTTCAGTGCTCTCAGACACACAGGAGCCGACCGTCGCATCGTCCTGCAGCAAAAAGAAACGACACCAGACGCCTCTGTACGCTAATCTGGACGGGCAAAACAACCTAGCACCCCCGGGCTGGGCAAGATAAGTGCGCAGATTGGCTCAGCTGCCAATCTACTATACCATTGACCCGGCTCGACAAGCCGGCAGCTCAGTAGGCAGCGGTTACTCAGATCTTGGTCCCTTCTCTGCCGGCCTCATGCGAGCCACGTATAATCCAAGCTATTCCCATTGCTCTCGCACCCATCACCCAAGCACTTATGCAAGCCCAACTCTCGGCAGCCGCAAGTCGCCTCTCGCGAGACTCGGTCGGCCTTGGCCCAATGAGATTTGCTCACATAAGGGCCTCGAATCTGCTTATTTCCTTCGTGAGCTGGCCGCTACCGTCTAGACTGGTCTCTGGACCGCAATCCTCATGCAGGTAGCTACATCCGCGCATGCAATGTACCATCACAGAACGCAGCTTAGTGTGCCTGTGGATGGAAGTGGCCTCATCGCCGTCGATGAAATGCCCTTTGCGGCTACACACTACATGGCATCTCCAACTTCCCGGGATCAGTTCTTGGAGACTGAGCTCGACACATTTTGTGCATGCCGCTGCATCAAGTGACGCATCAAGTCAAGTGAAGCATGTAAGCCGTGGACACTTCAGCTTCCCGGCACTGTGTGAACATGTGGGCATGACTAAAGAGTCCAACGCAGAAGACAACTGCTGTCAATGATGCGAGTCCCCCGGTTTGGTAGCAGGCCCCCCGGTATCTGGATGCAGCCTCTCCGGAAGAGATGTCAGCCGCCTGTACAAGTCGAGGTACTGGTACGGCGCGCAGGGCCTCGTGTACAAGTCCCAGGTCTACGAGTATTGCCTCCTACGATGCCTCCCCGTCGTCCTGCTACCTACAGTATTGTATTGTTGTGCTCAATCCTGGCACACGCATTTCGCGGGTGGCGCCTCGTGGCAAGGGTCCGTCTCGGACCTAAGTGTGATGATGGCTGCTAACACGCAAATGTCCACCTAACCAACGCAGCGTTGCCATTTAGGAGATCTCTTCAATGCTACCGGGTTCCTTGCCGACCCCCAGCAATATCCACCATCTGCCAGTTAGTCCTGGTCTGATGAGGACAAGGAGGAAGAAAACACCCGCGTCGTCTTCATCGAAATTGGGCGGCTTACACGCCTCAGCTGATGATACATGCCTGTCGACGATCAGATTCTTGCACCTCTTCCAGACTGTTGGCCTGCATAACTGTTCTATTTTAGACGCTCAAATTGGTTAATTGCTGTCTCGCAATCTTGCTGTTATACGCCGTCTGTCTGTTCTTCTGCAGCCCATTGTCACCACTGCTCCGGCTGCCGTCCCCAGTTCAGCCCTTTGGCACTAGCTCTGCCTCCAAGATGCATTGGTTCATGTTGCCACGCCGGGTCTGTCTTAACCAGTGAATACTACCCGAGTCTCATGTGGCCTTGCAAAAAGCGGCTCGCCCTGCAGGGCACAGGCGGGGACTAAACAGTATCTGATGGGGACCCCCGGTGGTGCCAATTTCATCCCTGCCCTCCCAGACAGCCGCAGGTACCGTTTCTACCGATTCTGCGGTGATCCACCAGACACCCCGGGGGCACTCTCATGGGCGTCCCATATGTATCTGTCTGTTGGGTCTTGTCTTGCGGTGCAGGGTTGCTCGAGCGAGGGCGGGCACACAGACCCTCCCCTCCCAGAATCGAGACAGCTGTGGTAGCTGGCACCGCCCTCTGTCGAGCCTATCATGGCGGATCTGGCTATTGGCCATGGCAGAAGCAGAGTTGTGCGTTAGCACGAGCAGGCCATTGCCCAAGCCCAAGCCCGCAGGGTCTCGATGGACACTCCACGCCGGAGAGCGACAAGTACAAGAAGACCGTGCCCCTCGTGTTGACTCTCACTCACCCAGATTTAATCCTCAAACCTATCCACTCTCTTTCCCTTCAAACGCAAGTCTCTTGTTCGTCGACCCTTTTGTCACAGCCTATATCCCTCGTTACTACCGCCGTCTGCCAGCGTACTTCTCCCTCTCCTCGGGCCTGGGCCAGTGTGTCTTAATTGCAGTCTCTATCGATTCAGCCATTGTTCTCAACCTCGGAGCCTCGATTGTTCAAGAGCTCATCATTGTGTGTTCTGTACTATATATACATTTTTGCCAAAAGCCAACCCAAATCGCTCTGGATCATGTTCTCTGCACAAGAGGCTCACGAAGTCCGTGGCTCTCCTCCGTCCAAGCCCAACATGCTGGGCGTCGGCGCCGTCATGAGCAGAGAAACTTTCCTCCCTAGGAAGGCGTCTGCTGAATTCCTATCTTCAATCCCACGATCTCTACTCCACCCACAAACCCCTCCTGACTCAACCTCAGGCAGTCCAGTTGTCAAACTTGAAGGTATGTATCTTTCTCAGCTACGAATTCCCGTGAAAACTAGGCAAAAACAAGTCCTCGAGGCGGCTAACACGTCTGGTAGGATCCTTCTCATCTGCTTCAAGTACTGTGTCTCGAGAGTGCTCTCCGATCCCTCGTTTGACTCGCCTCAACTCATACACCAATCCTTCCGTCAAATTGCCTAGCCTCGAGGAGTTCGATCAAGGTGTAGAAGCCATCGCACGATCCTATGGATCAACGCGATCTTGGACCCCTCCTTCTCCTCTCCCCACACTCCGACGTGGCTCTATTCTGCCTCAACCTCTGCCTTCAATGCTAGCCTTTTCCATCCACGAGCCCGCTTATCCAAACTACGCCATCAGCAGCGAGTTCTGCCCTTCAAGGATGGATGGTTACCCAAGCCCGCCACCTGACAATGAAGGGAGGCACATTAATCAAAAATACACTACAGAAGAGGGGGATTTCATCATCTACGCTTGGCACGACAGGAAACTCAAGTGGCAGCGTATCAAGCAAGATTTTGCGAGCATGTTTGGCCGCACACCTGAACGGACTGTCCAAGGTCTTCAGGCGTGGTACTACCGCATGAACCAGCGTATCCCCCTCTGGGACGAGGATGGATGGCTGATCTTTGACAATGACGAAGACATGGAGCCGAAACACATTAGCATCAAGTGTCGAGAGAGAGACACGCAGGATCGGCCAATGGAGCCCTTGGGGCTTGCCCAACGCTACCCTGAGCGAGCCATGCACTATTCTTGGGTTGATCCCGAAACAAAACGCAAGTGTCGAGACTGGGGTGAGTCTGATTCACAATTGATACATCCTTTACTATGAAAATTGTCCGAGGCGCTAACTATTCTCCCTTCTTTTGTAGCTGCCAAACGCGCTCTACAATTCCGTGAACGCAGAGAGCGACGGAAGAGAAAGGAGCAGAGGCGCCTAAAGATGTAAATCGACCGCTCCTTGCGACCAGAATACAACACCACAATCAACAAAACAAAAACTTTACAAAAAAAAAAAAAAAAGAAATTACGTTCAACAGATGGGGAGAGAGCAGTTATGATATCCATGTTCATACTGCCCTCCGAAAACTCTCTTGAGCATGGTACGAGCTATGTACTACTAATACATTCCACTTTCTTTAAGTGGACGACTGCTACTATGCATAATCTCTTTTTTTCATTTGGGTTGGGCCAGAACATATTTTACGATACCAAAAGCATAGCCCTCGAGGTCAAAAGATGTACATGGAATCAAATGAGATAACAGGATCAAGCGTCAAGCGAAGCATTAGGGGGAGGAGCGATTTTGGACACTTTGCACAGCTATTTTTCTTTGTTTCATTTCTTTTATGTTCACAAGATATCTCATGTACTAGTACGCTTTGCTGACGCGGTTGGATTTTTTTTGGATTGCTTTCTTCCAGTTTTTTTTTTGGTGGCCAGAGGCGACGAGCCTCTCGCCTTCTCTTGCATATATTAGGGCTTTAATAAGGAGGACTTGATGGTTACGGTTGGACAGATATGGCTAAAAGGTAATAAATCGCTTGGCAACGGGACGGGAAACAGTGTCTACAAAAGAATTGGGCAATACAGTCTCTATGATTATCATATAACTATCATCATTGGCATTGGCTTCATTATTCCTGCTCTTCTCCTCTCCTCCTTCTCGCTCTTCCTCTGTTCCTCTTCCTCCTCCCTTCTCTTCAGGGCTCTTCCTCCCTACCCACCATCTGGGCGTTTCGGGTCGCCCTGCATTGGTAGTGTGTCGTGGTACCCCTAGAAGTAGGCGTCTTCGAGCCCATCCCTTTGCGTCTCACGGCATCTTGGGCCTTCGGCGCCCGTTGATTTCACGTTCCCAGTTTTCCCTCTCTTGAACGCATGAGCATTGAACATGTAATACAACAATGCCACAGTCCTTGGAATAGAGAGTAGCATGTGACTTCTCCCCGCCAGTTTCTTTCCTCTCCCGCTCACTCGACAAGCCACTCCCGCTGCCCCATCTGCGGCACGAGCAGTAAGATCTGTAGACGGGACAGCTCAAATGTTTGCTTTGCTGTAGTCAAGTGACCCTCTCTGCCAAGTGGCAAAGGCCAGCTCAGTGGGTGAGATGTGGCAATTGGCCAAGATAGGGAAAAGGCATAAACGCTGGTTTATTATTATCCATCGTTGAAAAAAGAGGGCCAAAGCGAGGGCCTAGCGCCTGCATCTTCCAACACAAACTCCAAGTACTCTGGTATCTTGTGTGGCTTGAGGGGAAAGCGGTGAGGCATCGGCCTTGTCGAAGTTGTCCAGGGGGTGAGGGGGGGTGGAAGGAATGCGTCGCCCAACACATACATACATACATATATACGTACATGTGTTGATACGTACCTGTATAGTAGTAGGTGTACGTGTACAACAACAATGTCAGTTTTGGTGTGTGCGTGTATGCGTATATGCGTGTTGTGTCGCATGAAATGCCTGTGAAGGACGAGAAGACATGAAAATGGGCTGTAAAAATAGCCGCCACGTGGGGAGATGGGAGAGTCTGGGCCAGACAGGTCCATTGTTGCACGGCCGGGTTTGTGTGAATCTCAGACAAGAGGGGCCATTGTCGGAGGTAGCAAACTGCAGATGAAATAGGCGATATCAGGCAGATGCCATATTAGTCTCTTGTTCGAATGGCGGTGGGTGAAATGGATGGAATGAGAGGGGAAGGGAAGTATGCGTGAAAGCTCCCTGTAATTTGCCAAACACACAGAGAGCCAGACGATCTTCTTTGTCGAACCTATCGAAAGCCGGCGTTGCGTTTCATGAATTCTCGGATGCGGTCCATTCTTGCGTCATCGTCATCGTTGTCTTGGCCCTCCATGACAAGCTCATCGCTGTCATATTCGTTGTCATCAAACTCTTCCTCATCCGAGGCATTGGCATTGCGGTACATGTAAGCGTGACGATCGTATTCGTCCTCGGTATCGACTTCGTCCTCTGGATAGTCTGCCGTGTAATAGTTTTCCGCTGCGTACAAGAAAAAAATAAGGTAAGGCTTTGTTTCACGTGAATCAATGTCTTGCATGAAGGTGGCTTACCATTCTCATCTTCATCGTCCTCGTCATTTTCCTCGTCTTCATCTTCCAAGGATCCATAGAACAGCTGGCTCTCTTGTTCTCCGTTCAAGACCAAGATGCCGACATCGGACGGAAGTACGTCGAGGCCCATAGAATGAGCTGGGACGCGAACATACTCTTCGATAACCCATTCTTCGTCGTCTCCTTCTTCCTCGCTTGCATCTGCCATGGGGGTATCTACTGTATCCTCGGTAAGGGTTGGCCGTGGTGCCGCAGTTTCAGGGTGGCGCTCTTGGTATCTCTTTTCAGGGGCTTTAGGCCTGAACTTTGGCTTCTCAGCTTGTTTCTTTTCCACATCCATGGCGTGCAAGTTTGCGCCAATCTCGTTGAGCACCCACTGATTCATATCGGCAGTTATTTTATCCATATCTTCGGTATGACGATGAGTTAGGGACTGCGGAAGAGGGACACGAGCCGGGGGCTCTTGTGAAGGGTCACGCCGCCTCGCAACACCAGGTTTCTTCAGATGTCTCCGTTCGATGGGCTGGTCGTGGCTCATCAAAGTATCCTGTTCGGGGTCTTGTGTGATGATAGACTGAGCGTCTTTTATGACAAGACTCTGGCGCGAAGACTTTGGTATGATTTTCTTGCGCCCAGTACGCTCGACAAAGATGGTTGGCCCGAACCGCACTTGCTTCGAGTATCCAGTGCTGGTCGGGCCAGGAGTGGCAGAAGCTTGCGCCAGCATCGCTCGCGATACATGGAATTTGCGCTGCTCTGTAGGTTTTCCATCGGCATGCCACTTCGCAGGTCTTTGTTCATCGCTGCGTGTTCTGGCCAGCGAGGTGACATCCTCTGGCCGCGAGACATGAATCACCGGCTCGCCATCACTGCGGCTAACCACAGGGCCTGTTGCCGTGGCCTTGGATTCCCGCCGCTGATACACATAGTTTGCCTCGCTGCGGTGCCGCTTGGCCCCTTCATCGAGCTCTGCGCCGTGTTAGAAAAGGGTTGATGCCGTGACATATCACCAACGAGCAGACTAACGAAGATAAGTGACGGGGGCATCATCGTCCCGTTTGCGCTTGACCCGGATAAGCTGCGGCGGGATCGACATGGCGGAGGAATGACCAGACCACGTGCTTCTCGAGATGGATGGGCGCCGGCTGAGTTATCGTAAGCCGGAAGAAGAAGCTGGACGCTGGCTGGGTGAAGCGAATGCAATCAAATAAACTTGCTGCGACGAGGAAAAAAAGTTTAGGGTGTTTTTTCGGAGGCTGCCATCTCGCAGCGACTAGCATCAAGTACAGATACGAGCTAATAGGCGCAGGGCCCCAGACAAGCGTAGGTACCCGTGAGCGCTGCATGACAAATGACGTCGCATCCCGTTGCACAGAGGCCGGGCCCCCTGGCTAGAGGATTGTGTCTGTTCTTGACACCTGACATTCGAGTATACAAGCATTTAGCCTTGTGAATCCCGAGAATCCTGAAACTTGAGCATTCGCAGAAAGTACCGCGTAAACCGAGTAGAGCAATGCGCTACGGAGTATTTCGCGGCCAAGCCCAAGTACATGTACGGCGAGGCGCCGGCTGGACGCCGTAGCGGAGGCCCCATTGCGGGCGGTACCCTCGACCATGGAGACTAGCCCTGGTACCAGTTTCTCCGCACTGCAACTTGCACTACGCAGCCGTTGAAGATGTAATGTGATTGGCCTGGGGCCTCCAAATCCCCAAGTTCATGATATCACGACCTAGGCTCTACTGGGCAGTACCTGTCTGCTGCATCGTTGCGGGAGGTCCCTGTAACCTTTGGCCGTGGCTCAATTGCCTGCGTCGCGGCAGACAAGCGGGTGTTGCTGCAGTACCGGAGACCTTGCAGACGTTGCATCGACGTCCATTCTTCGCCTGGCCTAGCCGAGCTTGTTACCTCACAGAAAAGCAGCATCTGCGGCGCTGCTTCGTTGGCCGGCTAATCATGACCACATCAGTAAATGCCTCCCCAATGCTGCTCCTTTTGCCCAGGAATCTCCCCCTTTCCCGTCGTCGAGGCATTGATAGCTCGTGCTTTGGGCCTTACGCGACTCCCACGTCACCTCGAGGGGCCACTCGCCAGCCATGACGACTCAATGAGCCCTTCGGAATCAAAAGCCACCCTCCAGCACCGTCGCATCTAGCAGGGAATTAGCCTTTCCACCAGCCAGTATCATCACGGCCCGGATCTTGGCCCATCTCAGAGCTTAGTTGCAACTCGTGCAGAGCCCCGCAGGAGGACGCCCCCGTCTGCTTGGCCGTTGGGGATCAGCCCACCAGCGCTTGTTTTGCCCATATGCACAGGCGTTCATTGACTCTGGCGGCGCCGTTCCTTATTTATCATCTCGCACCCCCTGTTCACCGTCGACTGGACTCCGAAGCAACATCTCTGCAGATCCCACTGTGAGTCGCTCTGCAGTTTGCTTCAACATCCATCATGGCGTCCACCGTTCCCTATACCGTGACATATCGCCGTCCGGAGAGAGAACCTCCTCTGTTCCTGGCCGGAACTTTTACAACCGTACAGTGGGGCCTCCAGGAGATGGGCTGCTCTCGCGATGAGAGTGGCGAATATGTCTTTGAGTCTCGCGTCTTCGTCGAGCCTGGCAGAGAATACCAGTTCAAGTTCAAAGCTGGACAAGATGGCCCCTGGATCTTGGATGAAGAAAAGACTATCGGTGAGTTACTTTTAACCAATGTCCTATCGGCATATCAACATCTTCTCTATTATTGTTCTCTTGGATCGTATTCCTGACTAACGAATGCCTCATCTAGCCACGGACGAGGCAGGCAACCGCAACAACATCTTGAAAGTTCCCAAGAGCTACATATCCAAGACCAAAGACGAGGGAAGAAGGACTTCAACCCCCGTTGGACAAGTTGCTTCTGTCGCCGCCGAAGTCGCGGATGTAGCCGCAAAGCTTGACGAGGTAAGACTAGGTGTCGCGACTTTTTGGCGTCCTTTCAACGCGGTAACACTCTAACAGGCTAATTAGAATGACTCGTCGTCGCCTCAAATCAGCGGGTCTGGCGGCGAGAGCGAGATTGACGAAGACCTCAAAACTCCCTTGTTTGCTCATGAGTGCTTTGGTGCCTACGAGTTTGTCGACGATGCTTTGGACCATGAAGCTCTTGATGATGCCAAGCTGAGGCGTGCTTCGAAGCCGAAGCTTGATGAATATGCGATAGAGGATGCAGACATTAACGATCCAACGATTGAACAATTTCCTTGCGATAAGTTAGAGATATTCAGCACACTGCGCAAAATCCAATCCAGCTTGGGTGAAGATCAAGTTAGTCTTGATGATTCACAACACTCACCTCGTCTTGACGGAAGAAGAACCAGCGTGGACTCGGATGATAGTCTCTTATCGGCCGGATCTCTGAGCCCAGTCACAGCTAGAAAACGGGAGAATCGTATGTCGACAAGCAGTGGCCGCAATAGATCGCTGGTATCACTTGGCTCCATCGCCGAAGAGCCAAAAACCCCAGGTCCAACCAAACCGTCTCATCCACTGTCTACAGCCGGCTTCTCGAAGAAAGATACACAACTCAATCATGCCAAAGGCCCCACAATCGAACAAGGTGAACACCTTATGATGAGACGATCTGTGCATTAATGAAACGCGATGAAATTTCTGGTTATTGATCGGGGGTCGCGTCGATACAAGCGGCATAGGTGCACGGCATAGCATGACGTCAATCTTTATGTATAGCTCTGCCAAGGTTTCACAAAAGTGTGGCTTTCTTTCTTTGTGTTTTTTTTTATGGCAGCTACTTTCCCAGACGTCAAATTCTGCTATTTTCTCTTTCTTATGACTCAAATATCAGGTTGATGTTGCCTTTGCACGGCTCTCATATACATGTGAAGTTGGTGGGTGTCTAGTGAACTGCTCCCATCCGCTGTTAGTGAATGTTGCAGCATAACTGCTGCCCTGACTGAAAGAAATCATCTCTATAAGCTGGTGGGACATTTGGACAATGGACTTCGTGTTGGGACTTCTAGAACGATCTATGCAGACAAAGAGAATGGATGCGTTTCAATTGATCTCGTTACATCATGGTTGACGCCGGCAATAAAAAATGGGGGCCGGGAGCCCACCCCAGAGCCGGAGCTAGCACTAGCAACGGCGCATATGCTCCGTACACCAAGATAAGGAAAAAAAAGTTACGAAACCTCTAGTATCGCATCTTCATCCCACCAACCCACTATAAAAGGAATTTCATAATGCGCCGCGCTGCTGCAAGCTCAGTTTGCCAGAGCTGCACCCGCACAATCGGCAGCCGTCCGCTCATACAATCCTCCATACAGCAGTCATGTCTCAGTCAGCGCTTCTTATCGCAGCGAGCCAAGCCGAGGCCCTCGCGCATGGTTCTAGCTGAGCAAGTCCACCGAGCACCACGCCTGTCTCGAGATGACCGCAAACCCAACCGCGAGAGGGTTGCAGGCCCCTTTACTGGCATGAACCGGAGAGTAGCCAACATCGATCTCAGCCGTTCGCCACCACGAGCTCGTTCTGCGCAGCCTAGCGATCGGAAATCGGCTCCTGGCGATGACAGACGACGATCGCAGGATGATAGAAAGGCGCTCAAGATGCAGCGTGCCTTGACGTCGGTGTCATATAACAAACGAATGTCGGTCAAGGAGCGGCTGCAGAGATACGAGTCATTCGATCAGTTTGATCTTTCTTCCGCGCTAAAGACAGCTGTTGCCGACGAAGTATTTGCCGGCATGGTTGACATTCGGCCGACGCCAGTGCAACGATTGGCTATTCCTGCTTTGCTGGGACAGAGAGAGCCGGGAGAGCAAAAGAGTCAATTCAAAGAGCAGTCCTCGTTTCTTTTGGCGGCAGAGACTGGATCGGGCAAAACCCTTGCGTATCTGCTGCCGGCCATCGATGCGCTGAAGATTGCGGAGGCGGAGGACACAGAGATCCAAGCGTATAAAGAGCGAGCAGAAATAGAGAAGCAGCGCCAAATGACTTCAGACTTCAAGGGAAAGGCGTTTGAAGAGCCTCACCCCACCATGGCGAGGCCAAAGGTCGTTATTTTGGTTCCTACAGCTGAGCTTGCTCACCAAGTCGGTCTCGTTGCCAAAAAGTTGTCGCACGCTGTCAAGTTCAAGACAGAAGTGCTGTCGTCCAACCTGAAGCCTCAGCAGATTCAGCGGAACCTATACGGGCCAAAGGGCCTCGATGTTGTAATCTCGACGCCGCACCTCCTGGCCTCGATTGCAGAGTCTGATCCCAACATCCTCTCACGAGTATCGCACTTGATCATCGACGAAGCGGATTCACTTTTTGATAGAAGCTTCTCCTCCGTCACATCTAGCATCGTCGAGCGCTCATCCCCTTCTATGAAGCAGCTTGTATGCTGTTCAGCAACAATTCCCAGGAAGCTGAACAACTATTTAGCGACCAATTATCCCAAGATGATTCGATTGACCACACCCAACCTGCACGCCATCCCTCGACGTGTTCAGCTTGGTGTCATCGACGTTTCCAAAGAGCCGTACCGCAATAACAAGGATCTTGCGTGCGCTGATGTCATCTATACAATTGGAAGAGAGGCTTCGCAGCATGAGAACCTGCAAAAAGATGAGATTGACGTTCGCCGAGTCATGGTCTTTGTTAACGAGCGAGAGAAAACCGACGAAGTCGCCAAATATCTGCGTTCAAAGGGCATTGACGCCGAAGCACTGCACAGAGACACTCCTGAGAAGCGACACGGAGAAATACTAGAGACCTTTACAACATCTGAACCGCTACGAACCGTTGTTTCTCCCTCTCCATCACGCCATCGAGCGTTGACAAACGTCAAGGCTTTGGTTGTGACTGATCTGGCCTCTAGAGGTATTGACACGCTTGCAGTTCGACACGTCATCTTATATGATGTGCCTCATACCACGATTGATTTTATCCACCGCTTAGGCCGAGCTGGTAGGATGGGAAGACGTGGAAGAGGCATTGTCCTCGTAGGAAACGATGACAGGAGGGATGTCGTTGCGGAAGTGAAGAACAGCATGTTCATGGGCCAGGCGCTCATCTAAGCACTAATGACGAATTACATATGATCAATCTCTTTTGGTATACGGTTTAGCATTTCACTACGACAACGGAGGAAAATAAACATTTTTGGCTGGAAAGACCCTGTACAATTAGAACTACGTATATCGGCGAAATCAGAGATGGGTGAGCTTGGAAAGTTTTTGGCGTGTAAGATTTGATGTGTATAGATCATCTCCAATATATAGTGAGAGGATAGAAAAAAGCAGGAGAACTGAGATGCATCTACTAATGGCCACTCTATTTGTTTCATCAAACCTAGACAGACAGCCTTCAGTAGGTATCAAACTTTATCGTTATGAGCTGATCCATGCCTGTCACAAGGCTGGTATGCCGCCACTTAAGGTACCACCTTTTTAGGCAGTAAGCTCTATTTTTCTTAAGTGGCCCCGCCAAAAAGTGACAGCCTCGCGATCCCTCCACTCCCACTCGCGTCGGAACGCGTCAACAATTCAAGCTAAATTAACCCTCGCGATCATTTTGTTGCTCAGCCCACTTCATGGTACTGCTACAGTAACGACGACCCAGGATTTTTTGTTTGTACTTTGAGCTGGATTCACGAGAAGCGCGCATATCTTTTTCTTCCACCTGCTTCAACACTGCTCATTAATCCTCATCTGCATTTCACTGCTCGCTGCAATGCCGCGGCCCAAGAGAGGACGACCTCCCGGACCTCGCGCGGGCAACGATGCTGTCGTGATACCCTCGACCGCAGAGCCAGCCAGCAGCTCCAGTGTCGTTCTCGAAAACAAGACAGAAACAACTCGCCGCCCTCGAGGCCGCCCTAGGAAGATACGATCTGTCGCGCAACTCAACATTGACGATGACGATTCCATCGACACGGCAAACCAGAGTCGTGACACAGCGCTCAACGGACTCGTCAACGACGATGCGACTACAACAAGCGAAAGGAGAGCAACCCGTGCAAGCTCAAGAAGCTCAGTAGAGCTTGGCCGATTCACGGCGTCGACACCTAATTTTAATGAACGGGATAACAGCGGATTGGATCTTGGCGACAGTGTCTTTGGCGATTTGGATGACAGCTTTGCGGACGGCCCTGGGTCAGCGCGCTCGGCAGACATTTCAAATATGTCATATAGCGCTCTCCGGACTCAGTCACGTAGGTCTAGTTTCATAGGAAGAAACGACCCCCCGATTCGACCAAGCAGCCGGAGTGGTACTACCCCTAGAGTCGGATCCTCATTCAACATTGGCCTCTTCAAGCGGCGCGCACGGGAGCCTAGTATTTTGGGAACTAGCCGGGAGCCTCTTGAAGAACCTCCGACTGCCGGCCAGGATTCTGGTGTTGACAGTGAGGACGATTTTGAGCCTGAGGCTGAATCCACCCCTTTGAAAAACCGCCGCCGAACACAAGGAAACGATGAGATTATAGAACCAGAGTCGCCGGAGGAGGCCGAGTCCTCGAATCCAAGAAAACGAAAGAGTTTGGAAACGCAGCAAAACAACACACGCCCAGAGAAAGTGTCGCGTACGGAGCCCGGTTCATCTAGACAGCGTCGAGAGAGGCATTCATCAGAACTGCCAGATGCCCCTCCATTCCTTGAGCAGGATCAGATAGACGAGACGAGCGAATCAGAAATATCAGACGTGTCTTCACCTCGGGGACCTCCCTCCAGGCTCCCTCCACGTCCAGTTACACCAGTCAATCAAGCGGAAATCGCAGCGCCGCCCGCGAGTAGCGGATCAGAGGCATCTGATGTGTGGCCGGATATTCGATCGCTGGCAAAGAAACGCCGTAGACCTTCCGCCGTTACCACCCCTACACGCCTCGACAATCTCTCTGATATATCTTCACCTCCTTCTTTAACACATTCGCCAAACTACGATGCAGCCAAGACTGGCAAGACACGTGGTCGGCCACCGCGGAGCCAGCAAACTTCGCCTAAGATGACTACGGCTGATCTTACAAGCCTGCTCCCCAAGCGGCGTTACAAGAAGCAGCGCGACGCCCTCGGTCTAGAAAGTGATGAAGAGCTCGATACCTCGGGGTTGGGCAACGGAGATGATGAATTGTCTTATCTGGACACTGAAACTGCCCGCAGGCGAAAAAGAGGTCGGCCACCTACTAGAGCTGCTGGCTCCCGCTCTGCCTCTCGAGGCGGTAGGGCAGGTGGTTCGTCGAAACAAGCTAGGTCTGCATCACGCCGTCATTCCTCCGACAAGGAAAATGCAGGAGATGGGAGCAGAGGCGGTGATGAGGATGAGGATGAAGATGAGCAAGGAGAGGAACAAGTGAGCCGATTTATTCCTCTGGCGGACAATACATTCGACGGTGCCGTAGAGGAGGCAGACGCTGCTCTTACAAACGCTGCAGAACTGAAAGAGGCGAGCAAAAAGTTTAAAGAGGTAGACAGGTGGGAGCTAGATTTTGAGGAAGTGGCCGAGCCGTCTTCACCACAAGACGGAAGATGATGTTTTTCTCGTAACATTTGCGATACAGCCTGGATATCTCGTGTTTTAAGTCGATTGGAGTCTGGTTGAAATCGTCTTAGGGTTGTTTTTGCTTCCAAACGTTTTAGGTGTCTAATGAAGGAATATCAAAAGAAGAGGCGCTGGTCTGGATAGGTTTGGTTGGATTTGTAGTTTCATTGTTGATATCCATGGTTCTGTATCATGTAGCTTCCTCCCTTTTCCCTTGATGAGAGAAATTTTCTCTACAGAGCTTTGTGAATGCTCTGGGTTTATGCTTCAAAATACACTGTTGTAACAAAAAGATCCCTAAGCTTTATTACCAATCCCATAAACGCCTTTTCATGATTACGATGCTGCTCACATGTCCTTCTATATACCTGAGATTTTTAGATGTATTCTTCTTCCTCTTCCACTCTTTCCCAATTATTGGGTTGGAGCTGCTGGTGACACAGTTTCTACCCGATGCTCGACGACTTCCAGCAAGGGATCCAAGGCCGTAGGATCTCGCAAAGCGATTGTGACATCATCGGGCAACCTTCCTGTTCTCCGTAGAGCCTATAATTTGTACGCATTAGCCAAGTCTCTTCAAGGTGTGGTATATTTGCCCATTCTCCGATGTTTCGCTTACATTTTTGACATCATCAAATTTGGACTCCTTCGCCGTGTATTCGCGTATCACCTCGTCCGTCTCAAAGTCCACATAGACTCTCGTGTCTCTCAGCCGCACCAGAACATTATCCAGCCGCATAAACAGCCTCACCAGCAACAACATGCGCTTCTCATGGACCCTCAACTTTGCGCTGCACAAGGAAATGCCATTATCGTCCAGCTCGCTCTCATACAGCACGACCTCATCGAAGAAGAGCATCGGATCGCGCCGCTTCAGCAGCTCAATGGGAATCTGCTTCTCCGTCGTCGGCTTAAAGCTCTTTAGCTCATCGTCTTCAGCATTCCTCGTCGTGCCGCAGTACGTCGTCGAGTAGCTCCAGTCGTACGGCTTGACGACCTCTTTAATGCTCTGCGTGGTGCCCTCGCGCGTGCTCTCCCAGTCGCGCGCATAGGCCACGCGGAGCATCTTCTTGTCGGTCTTGTCGACGGCGTCGAGCGCATCGGCGGTGTTGAACTCGAGCGTCCAGTTGGAGGGGATGTGCGTGATGGAGACGAGGTTGTCGCCGAATATCATCTCCGGCACGGGGATGCCGAGCTTCTTCTCGAGGGCATCGATGGCGGCGGATTTGGAGATGGGGAGCTTGCGGGTCGAGATGCGGAAGCGGTTCTGCGTGTGGGAGGTTGTGGCGGCGGCGAGGGAGTCGGGGCTGGGGAAGGGTTCGTCGAGGGCGGTGATGTGATTTGTCATTTTTGGAGTGGAAGCTGGCGGGCAGCTGAGAAGGGAGAAATGGTGTGCAAGTTGAAGATGTGCGAGAGAGAGAGCTATCTACTACTTAGAATATCTATGGTGGGGTGGACGTGGACGTGGACTGAGGTAGCGGGGTGGTTGAGAACCAAGCCAATAAGCCATTCACGCCTAGACCGCTGTACTTTCACATTGGTACTTTTTGGGGTGGCTTTTAAGAGTGAAGTGTTTAAAGAACAATATTTTAGAATAAAAGTGGCTTAGTACGAAGCCTTGTGCAAAACTGTAACGGGAAGCTATAATATGAAATCGTAAATAGGTAATGGCCCTATAAGTGTTCTGCTGTATTCTGCCCAATAAAAATCAGCGAAGCTCAAGTGTAAGTGCCAACTAACGTTGTGCAATGCTGGGAATGCCATAAACAAGATGAGATTTCTAGTCATATCGCGTGAATATAAAATGATTGTACTACATCAGTGCTGCGTATAAGAGAACGATTAAATAGCACATGCTAATTCGATGTTGCATATCACCCAGGATCACAGCTCAAGACTTGCATTGAAGGCCCAACTAGGATCATCAGCTACCTAAGCTTGTGAGCCATAGCGCTGCTAACTTGGGCCATGTTACGGGGGCGGTCAATATTGTTTGCACTTCAAGATGCTTGACTAAATCATAAAAAGCAACAGCTGCATTTTGCTTTGAAATGTATTATGAAATTTCTGGTCCAATCTCTCCTTTTTCTCTCCCGAAATGCAAAACTGGAGAAACAATTAGTGCATGCATCTTCACACATGCCTCCCTGTCAGACATATTGGAGCTTACTAAGTCAGGCGAAATTGTATGCACGTGCGGTTGCCGTGACAACATTAGACCGCAACAACGGCAGCTGAAGTGCCCCGTTGCTGCCACAGCCCCCATCCAACAAACTCTCATCTCTGACATCAGGAATAACCCAACGTCGAACACGGTCGTCTGCTTGACTGTTACCACAGAGCCGATTCACCTCGACATGGCGAACAAAATGTCTACTCGCGTGCTTGAGTCACGGTTCGAGCACATGACCGTTCAAGACGAGAACGATGTCGGTGAAAGTTCAAGGCTCTATACAAAGACCAAGGTACGATGACCATCATGCTCACTGCTTGGATTTCAATGAGGCTAACATGAATCTAGATTGCAACGGCCTCAAGCACAAACCGAACAAACCTTTACAAAGTGGCGCTTCAGTCGCAAAGCAACAATGCTGTTGCATCCGCCCTCCCTTCACAAGCGGTCCCGAGAAAGCCTATGAATCCCGCTTCACCACCCCCAGTCAGAAAGCCTCTGCCTTCACGAATGAAGGAGGATAGAGAGAGGGAGAGGGAGAGGGAGAGAGAAAGGGAAAGGGAGAGAGAAGGTGAAAAGGAAAAAGCAAAGGCAAAGGTCACCGTCACCGTTACCGAGAAGGAGATCGACGAAACCAAAGTCGCTCTTACTGAGCAGCCGAGCATGCCCAAGCAATTCCACTTGGGCATGTTTGAGATTGGAAAACCACTGGGCAAGGGCAAATTTGGTCGAGTATACCTCGCCAGAGAGCGGACTACTGGATTTATTTGCGCGTTAAAAGTGCTGCACAAAAGTGAGCTGCAGGCTGGCGGCGGTGTCGAGAAGCAAGTTAGGCGAGAAATCGAGATCCAGAGCAATCTGCGACATCCGAATATCTTGCAGCTCTACGGCCATTTCCACGACAGCAAACGAGTCTTTTTAATTTTGGAGTTTGCTGGTAAGGGAGAGTTGTACAAGCACTTGCGGAAAGAGACCAAATTTCCCGAATGGAAAGCGGCTCAGTACGTCGCCCAGATGGCCTCTGCACTGCAATATCTTCACAGAAAGCACGTTATCCACCGCGATATTAAGCCCGAGAACATCCTTGTCGGTATCCATGGAGAAATCAAGATTTCGGACTTTGGCTGGAGTGTGCATGCTCCTAACAATAGACGCAAAACCCTGTGTGGTACGCTCGACTATCTTCCCCCGGAGATGATCAAGCCTGGGTCTTCGGATAACTACTATAATGAAAAGGTCGACTTGTGGAGTTTGGGTGTGTTGACATACGAATTCCTTGTCGGCGAGGCTCCTTTTGAGGACACTCCTGTCATGACGCAGCGAAGGATTGCTCGTGCGGATATGCAAATTCCCAAATTCGTCAGCGCCGAAGCTGCCGACCTTATCAAGAGAGTAAGTGATCCGTTCCCCATATAAGGGAGGAGTAATGAATCAACTAACAAGCAAACCATAGCTCTTGGTTCTCGACCCTGAGAAGAGAATCCCTCTTGATGAGGTACAAAACCACCCTTGGATCATTAAGCACTGCGTAAAGGGTGAAAGAGCCGCCAATCGTGAGAGGAGCTCTTGATCTTCCAGGGGATACGACGTATGCAATTTTTTTGTGGCCTTTTTTTTCGACGACCTTATTGTCCTTGGAGTCTACTTTGTAATTTTTGAACTGGTATGTTGTCTTGCATAAAGAGGAGTCTAGGGCGTTTTCATACTTGTCATTTTCATTTCTTCTTTGGACGGTCACACGGGAACAGTTTAGCGACTCAGCCAGAAGTTTTGTTTTGGGGGTATCGTTTACTAGTATTGAGAGTTAAAGTTGAGTGTCATGAGCGGAACTGCGCTAGAGCTAGACGGTATCGTACATCATAAAGTCTATATTTACAAGGCATTCGAATTTTACCTATATACCTCATCGAAAGGCCTGGTGTCTGAGAAACATGAGTCCCAGACTTCATTGACCACTTTGGTCGCTTGCACGTCGTCTTTACACCTCGGCCGAGCCATGACGGATCTGATGGCTCTTGCGCGAACGCAGTTTTGAAATTGTTGGGTCAAAGACCAGTTGCCTCGGGTCAAGGCCTCTCTTGTCCAACGACATTCTCCGCTGAGCATGGATGCACGAATCTGTGTTTTTTTGGCTATTGTTAGCCACAGGCCAATTGGTCGATTACAAGTCTCAATCCCCGAGTCATATCTTTTGCGTTCAATAGTACTGACCTCTGTGCACGCAGCATGCTTTAAATCTTTGTCTCCCATCCAGTCTACTTTCCACCGCAAATGGTCCCACGCATGCACCATTTCGTGCGCCAGCGTATCTTCCAGGTGTTTGCGATCGCGAATCTCATTTGCGCAGATCAGGATGCCGTGGTTCGGGCTGAACCCTCCAGACTGTCGATGCACCTGTCCATCCTCCTCCAGCCGCGCAGGGCACCGGCGACACAGCACGTTTGAGGCATCCAGGTTGCCGTTCAAATCTTTAATCTTGCCGGACAGGAAGCGGACGACGGGCGAGTATGTGAATAGCCAGTCGCGATATTCGTCGCACCGCTTGCAGTCTCGCTCCTCGTGGACTTTGTATCGCCATTCGCGGTAGTGGAACAGGCCCTCGGGAGTCATTTGGCCGGAGAGGATTCGGAAGTAGTTCATCCACCATTTCATCTGCGGGTCGAAGCCGGTTCGGGCTGGGTCGTTGACGACTTCTTTGGGGGGGTTCGGTGGTGCGGAAGCAGTAGCCGGAGCTGAGGGGGTTGGCGCTGCGCCTGGTGCCATGGCTGTGAAGTGTCTATGCGGTGATGTCTTGAAATTGCGTTTTCTTTGAGATTGAAATGGTAATACGTAGCCGAACGGATTGGATGAAAATGAGGGATGTTGAATGAGAAGATGAAGCTCTCGTCAATTGTAGTGCTGCTAGTACATAATTCTGCCGCATCGAATCGACAATATGCAGGGCGGTGAGAGCGATTTTTCTCACTAAGAAAGCTATTCTGCTCCGTTGATGGTCTAGCTTATCTTATCGTAAGCTGTAAGAGGGAAAACTCCAAATTTGGATCTTGGGCTGCTCCGAAAAGCGGGACGGAGCATGACTTGCAAGAGGACTATTTGGATTAGAACAACTACATGTACTAAGAAGAGTGCGCCTCTGTAATTCATCGACGATCCGTCCTACATATGCGACTTTCATCTCACCGATTGCGCCAATTCGCAATTCAATAAACTGACTGGGAACCTTGCTGCGGCCAATCAGCTTCGTCGAATAGAGCTACTATCGCATAAATCGTGACAGGGGAGCTGGCAAAGATGTCTGGCGATATTACTCCGAGTAAGCCAAATGACGAATTTTGCATCTCATTGATTTGATAGCGGTGGGTGTCTAAGACACCCGGGCGCGTTTTGTATTTACATTTCAAGATGCTTGCTTGCCCCCCTTTCTTTACGATCTCTCTGCAGAATCATCTTTTTGATCAGCTTCCTTCCACTTTTTAATGCTCGGTTTTTTGTGAAGCTTTAATTGGCTAACGTATGCTGCCTTTCATCTCAAAAGACGAGAACCTGCTGGCTATGAGGAAGTCAAAGCCACTGACTGTGGTTATTAAGCTGGGTGAGTGCGAATTATGAATCTGTACCCTGGTCATTGTAAAGAAAACGGAGAAAAGGGTATTTCTCTCTAACATCCTCACGAATAAAAGGCACAAGCTCAATTGTCGACGAAACAACCCACGAGCCTCTGCTGCCAATCCTGACCCTGATTGTGGACACGGCCGTCAAGCTACGAAAAGATGGCCATAGAGTGGTCATTGTCTCTTCAGGAGCTATTGGCGTAGGTCTTCGACGAATGGACGTAGCTAAGCGTCCCAAGCATTTGGCACAGTTACAGGCAAGACCACTTCAATCTACACTTGACTTAAGCTTAGGCATTCTGACAATGATACTGTCAACAGGCATTGGCGGCAATCGGTCAGTGCCGGTTGATTAGTCTCTGGGACAGCCTGTTTGCTCATCTATCGCAACCTGTGGCCCAAATTCTACTCACAAGAAATGATATTGCTGATGTATGTTACATGATATTCTAAACCAGAGTGGTATTGTCAAACTAATCATGGCCAATGCTCTTCTCCGGCTTAGCGAACACGATATCTCAATGCTCAGAGCACATTTAACGAATTATTAGACATGGGAGTCATCCCTATTGTAAACGAAAACGACACCCTGGCAGTTTCCGAAATCAAATTTGGCGATAATGATACCCTTTCAGCGATTACAGCGGCCATGATACACGCAGACCTCTTATTTCTCATGACGGATGTTGATTGTTTGTACGATAAGAACCCGAGAAGCCATCCCGATGCCAAGCCCATTGAAATCGTGGAAGATATCTCAGCTCTCGAGGCAGATGGTATGTTGCGCTTTCATGATTCGCAAAACGTATCTCACCACATGCTAAACAAATACAGTCTCGAGCGCTGGATCAGCACTAGGCACGGGTGGTATGAGTACAAAGATCATCGCCGCACGACTCGGAACGTCGGCGGGTGTGACAACCATCATCACCAGGTCATCGAATCCTGGCAATGTCTTGAACATTGTCCGTTACCTCCAGCCATCGAGATCGGCTTCATCCTTGTCGTTGAGTCAATTGGCTACATCGGAGAATAAAGAGAGCAAGCCAGCTCCGCCATTGCACACGAGATTTTTGGCTTCTACCGATCCAATTCGGGACCGCCACTTCTGGCTCCTCCACACTCCGAATCCCCACGGCACGCTGTACATCGACGAAGGTGCTCACAAGGCTCTTCTTACCAAGGCCGGCTTACTGCCCGTTGGTGTGGTTGATGTCGAGGGCAACTTTGCCCAGCAAGAAGTCGTCAGGCTTGTCGTTGTCACCCGAAAATCCAATCCGGGCCCGGATGGGAAGCGTTGGGAGGGCGTAAGGCAGGAGATTGGGCGAGCGCTCGTCAACTATGCCGCTCCCGAAATCTCAAGAATCTTGGGCCATCAGAGCACGGAGATTCGAGGCATTTTGGGCTATGCGGATAGTGAGTATGTGGCTCATCGTTCGCATATTAGCATTTTCAGAGCAGAGAGCAGATCTGCGACTCCAACGAGAGAGCTGCGCTGAGTAGAGTTGACAAAAATGATTACGATGAGAGGTATCAAAGACTGAAAATATGGGTTTGATAAATGATATAAAACAGTGTTTAGATAGTGGCTTCAATCGTTGGAAACCAGGGACAGGCTTGTGGATGCATAGCATTTGATGTTTCAACCTGCGATATACAGGCCCTTAAACTCAACGAGGGGCATGGTCAAATGTGGTTTTGAGATACATGAGATTACATGTCTTATTTTCTTGATATTGATAATTTTCATTCAAATTGTTTTTCTTTGCACTTACCAATATTAGCAGACTGTACAAAAAACTTGGCCTTTCAAACCCCATACATGTTTGTTTGAACTGATATTTGCCTCCCAAATGATTCCATATGCAAATCGACATATGTACATTACAATGATTACATGCATCGGATTACACGCAAGGCTGCACAGTCAACGGCTTGCCCCGCCGCAGCACAGGGCCTCGGCCGCTATAGGCTGTCGTGCAGGGCCCTGAGGGGCGGCCGAAGCCGGGCGCTGTAGAGTCAATCGGCCACTACAGATCCCTGGTGGGGTTGGCCGGCTGGAGTCACAGGCGGCGCACACAACTTTGTCTAGATGATTCTCCAAGTTCTTTTCTGCCCAACCCCACCATAGCCAGAGGAAACCAGTGCGGCCTGAGTTTTTGTGACTCGACTCGCGCCCTCATCCTCGACCAAGTTAAAAACCCTGGTGGATGAAGCCAATTCGTCTGCCGCTCCCCTCTCCAGCAACTCTTGCCCGCCTCACATTTGCCCCGCGTGTGACCCGGTTTGCTGCCGCCTTCAGTCGTCGCAACCTGTCTGTTTCGCGAAAGCTTTGCGCATTCCAGCCTCTCAAGCCGCAGAACCCTCCCAAGACCGGCGCCATGTCTTCATCCGCGACGACCCTCAAGGGCCAGCCCCTCGACAAGGTGGTGCTCGACGCCATGCTGCGACGGCGCATGTTCTACACCCCCTCCTTCGAGATCTACGGAGGTGTTGGTGGTCTCTACGACTACGGCCCGCCAGGCTGCGCTCTCCAGGCCAACATTATCGATTTGTGGCGGAAACACTTTGTCCTGGAGGAGGACATGCTCGAGGTCGACTGCACTGCGCTGACTCCCCACGACGTCCTCAAGACCAGTGGCCACGTCGACAAGTTTGCCGACTGGATGTGCAAGGACCCCAAGAACGGCGAGATTCTGCGAGCCGATCACTTTGTCGAGGCCATCCTCGAGGCTCGTCTCAAGGGCGACAAGGAGGCCCGCGGCCAAAAGATTGAGGAGAAGGAGGTCGACCCCAAGAAGAAGAAGAAGGCCAAGACTGCTGCTGCTATCAAGCTTGACGACGCCGTGGTCCAAGAGTACGAGGAGGTGCTTGCCAAGATCGACAACTATGGTGGCCCTGAACTCGGCGAGCTCATCAAGAAGTACGACCTCAAGAACCCCGAGACTGGCGTCCTTCCATCAGACCCCGTGGCCTTCAACCTGATGTTCCAGACATCCATCGGACCCAGCAGCAACCTTGCTGGCTACCTCCGCCCCGAGACCGCCCAGGGACAGTTCCTCAACTTTGCCAAGCTCCTCGAATTCAATCAGTCCCAGATGCCGTTTGCCTCGGCCTCTATCGGCAAGTCATACCGAAACGAGATTTCGCCCCGCGCCGGTCTCTTGCGTGTGCGAGAGTTCCTGATGGCTGAGATTGAGCACTTTGTCGACCCCGAGGGTGGCAAGAAGCACAGCCGCTTCCACGACGTTGAGAACGTCGAGATGGTTCTGCTGGATCGCCACGTCCAGCTTTCTGGAAAGACTCAGACCCAGAAGATGACCATTGGCCAGGCCGTCAAGGACGGTGTTGTCGACAACGAGACTCTTGGATACTTCCTTGCCCGTATCCACCTCTTCCTGGAGAAGATTGGCGTTGATCTGTCAAAGATGCGTTTCCGACAGCACATGGCCAACGAAATGGCCCACTATGCCACTGACTGCTGGGACGCCGAGCTGTTGACCTCAACTGGCTGGGTAGAGTGCGTTGGCTGTGCGGATCGTAGCGCATACGATTTGTCAGTCCATGCCAAGAAGACTGGCGCTCCTCTGGTCGTCCGTGAGCGACTTGATGAGCCCAAGGTCATTGAGGAGTGGCAGGTCGATATCCAGAAGAAGAAGTTTGGACCTCTGTTCAAGAAGGATGCCAAGACTGTGGAGACTGCCCTGGAGGCTACTTCACAAGAGCAGCGCGAAAAGCTGGCCAAGGAGCTTACTGAGACTGGCAAGATTGTCCTGGACGTTGAGGGCATTGCCGGTGGCAAGGCTACCATCGACAAGGACTCTGTCGCCATCGAGTTCCGCAAGAGAGTGGAGAACACCCGTGAATACACTCCCAATGTCATCGAGCCATCTTTCGGTATCGGCCGTATTCTCTACTCTCTCATTGAGCACAACTTCTGGACCCGTGGCAGCGATGGTGGTGATGAGGCTCGTGGTGTAAGTCTTTTTCTTCTTACTGCGTTTACGTGAAATATTGATGGCGCAAAATGCTAACTAACATGATTTCACTTTGGCAGGTCCTATCTTTCCCTCCCACTGTGGCCCCGACAAAGGTTCTCCTGGTTCCTCTGTCCTCCAACCCGCAGTTCAAGCCTACCGTTAAGAAGCTGTCCCAGAAGCTGCGCAGCCTCGGCGTCTCCAGCCGCGTAGACGACTCGTCTGCCAGTATCGGAAAGCGATACAGCCGAAACGACGAGCTCGGAACGCCGCTCGGCATCACTGTTGACTTCCAGACCCTCCAGGACGGCACCATTACGCTGAGAGATCGCGATTCGACCACGCAGGTCCGAGCTGAGGAGGACAAGATCCTGGAGGCCATCCAGTCGCTGGTCAATGGCAGCAAGCAGTGGGCGCAGATTGAGTCTGAGCTTCCCAAATTCCAGGGACAGGAGGTTGATGTTCCCGTTCGATAGATGGTAGAAGATACCTTGAACCTAGAACCTATGTTTTAGAAAGAAGAGACAAAGAGTATAAGCATTGGGTGGCCATTTGAAGGCAAGTCGTGGAAAACATCAAGTCAAGAGTAGGGTTATACATAGATGTATATATGGATGGCCTGTTATAACCGTCCAAGGTGAAAAAGAGTCAAAGAAAAAAAGAAAGTCAAGAATCTAGCAATATCAATTGTTTACGATATGCTATGGCAATGTAAACAATTCATTCCAATGCGCCTACCACCTTGTACGAAGTGGTACAAGACAGTTACGAAATGGCAAAGCCAAAGCTGTATAGAGACACAGACAAGTTGTGTTCAAGCAGTAGGCACTAGAGCCGCATAGCTTGACGTCGAATCCTTGTCGCTCCATTTCGTCAAGCCGATGAACCCTGCAGGCGCAGAATTGGCTTGACATGCATACAAGCAACTTGAAATACATGTAGATCCTTCACACTTAGGAGGGCCCGTTTTCGCGCGCGTGCTATTGTGCTCTTCACGCATATTGGGAAGTGATGCAACATTCGTACTGCAGATCTGTTTTTATGTTTATTTTTACTTTTCTTGGCAGCCCAATGAGCCTTCTTTTCATGTTGCCTATTTGTAGCAAGCCAGGATTGCAGCTCTTGTCGAACCAATAGCCTATCGCGTGGAGTCGAATGTCATCAAACGGCGTGGAAAAGGACTGCCCCTAGCGGATTAGCCTTGCGTTTTATCGGCCGCCTTGGTTGGAAAAAGGGTTGGATCCAATATCATTTCAACAGGCTGACTCGCTGTGTCGTTTTTTCCTCCGCCCCTTTTTCCCTCGCCCTTGGGTTGAGCAGTGACAACTTTTGATGTGATCGTCGGCGGTCATAGCACGGAAAAGTACCTGAGCTACAAGTGGGGGGGAGAATGAAGATGAAGGAGGTTTTGCGCTCCTCGCGTCACGACAGCAAGCTCCCGCTATTTGCCTAAGCTACCGATCCAGCCTTGCTCATGACAATATTACACGTGTATTTGTCAAAAAGCTTATTTATCCGGCTTCAAGGAGGTTTGCGGGACGCATGAAACATCTGGGGATGAGGATGAGGTTTGCCGCGGCTTGCAGGTGATTTTGTTGCTGCTTGAACTACACTCCATCCGTCCGTGTTGTTAGCCTGAGGTGTGCTATCTCCGTGTTCCGAAGGAAACAAAATTTCCCAAAAGGAGTTTGCTCTTGTATGACACGGGGTTCGGGATCTGTACGCAGCACTGAAATCGTTTCTGGTGGTCTCTCTCCCCCGCGTTGGTTGCGGATTTGTCTCCCTTTGGGGCTCGTGACTGTGAAACACGTCGTGATTTGAGATGCCCAAGCACAAGCCATCCGAGGAGACGAGGGGCGTTTATCTGTGTGAAGTGTCTGCAGTGTTTCCATCTGCGACGCTCCTGAAGATCAAGAAAATCTGCTCCATTTGCTGCCCCTCCACTCGACAACTTGTATCTCAAGAGGGGGAGCGAATGAGCAAGCAGCGCGGCCAGCGCAATGCTTGAATGGACGGCGGGCTACACGCAGCATCCTATCAATGCGCATGGCGAGATTGCTGCCGACAGTCTGCACGCATATCGACGCCCAGCTGCCGCGATGGATTCATCAACGATAAATTGCTGGTCCTTGTGTCCCGCTCCGGCTGTCTGTCTGTAACACTGATTTCAGGTGAGCACCGGACGACAGAGCCATGTTAGGGCCTAGTGCTTGCAGCCACCACTAGCAGCCCCTGGAGCCTCCTCGAAATCCCCTAATGGGTAGCATCCTCAGGGGTTCGCCTGGCGGCGGCAAATCCACCTGCAGCGCTGCTGGGCCCCCCACCTCGCCCACCTTTTGGGCTCGACCTCTGCTGGCCAGTAGCGGGTGTGGCCTTCCGCGCTGGGCCTCGTCGCGGTCTTCCCCACACAGCTGTTTCTCCATGGCCCGCGACTGCGAGGTACGGCGGCGAGGCGTCTGCAGCGAGGACGCGCTACCTCACCGGTCATAGTACGGTGGGCGGTCCAGCGCGTACCCCGTCGTCGCTACAGAGGTACTGCCAGGTACCGCCGACCCAGCGCATCGACCCCCTTTGCTTCATGCAGAGGCTCCAGCAGCTGCCGTAACGTTAGCACAGCAGCCGCAGCCGCCCGCGGCATCACCTAGAGCCAGTTGAGAGCTAGCGGATGGGAGCTTGTGCAGGCAGAGCGCTGGAGCGTAGCAGCGGCGGCAGTTACCTGCACCAGCGGCCTCGTTCCTGAGTGGTCGGGCTGGGCGCTGTGCCAGTCACGGCGCGGCCCCAGCTGTTCGTGTCGCCTCAAATCTCCTTCCTGCCACCCATCCTCGCTTCTCTCGCCGTGCGGCCTCGCTTCTTTTTTTATTTTTCCTTTTCATTATCGTTTTCTTTTTTTTTTTGAAGTAGCCTCGCGGCGTCTCAGATCATTCCTCGTCTGCGTTAGCTGGGCTATTCGCGCCGCTCCTCGTCCCAGGACCGCCAATTGCCTCGCCTGCACCTCCGCATTCCTTCCGGGTGCTCTGAGCTGGACCACGCCCTGGCCGACGAGACAAGCCTTCAGCTGCATCTGCACGCGCGTGAGAATCCCCACCTCTGCCCACCGACCTGCTTGGATTTGACCAACGTTGGCGCATTGGGCGTTTCTCCTGTGCTGGATCGACTGTCGCTCTGTCTGTCGTCTGGTTCCATCACTCTCTCTTCTCGCGCTTTTCCGTCTCGCCATTCGCGGTGCTTAGTTGGTTCGCCTTCGTTGTCGAGAAAGAGAGGCGGCCTAAGTCCTCGCCAATCTTCGATCATTTTCTCTGCTCTCTCGCCAGGGTAGAGGCTTGTTCCGTATTCATATCTTAATACTTTACGTACTGCTTTGTTTTGAGGCACAGAAGGATACTACACAGAAAGATACTAGAGGACACCTTAAAACACGATACCCAGGCCATCCCCGCAGCCGAGTCCCCCCTTCTCCTTTCATAATTCAGCATGGCTCAGCATAGGTACGTTGTCAACTAAGCATACCTATCACTTCCGTATCGTCATGGGCGAGACGTCTCCATAAGCGCGCTGGGACAGCCTGGGGCTGGCCAACGAGATGGGAGTTGGCAAAAAGGCATCCACCCCCTCTGGGACGACCCAATTACTGGGATTGGCGGCAGATTGTCCATACCGCCAAGTGCTTATGTATGGGTATGCTTCTTGAGTGGCGGTATCACCCTGGAGGGCCCTGTCACTCAAGTTAAAACACCCCCCTTCATAAGTATAATACTATACAATTTGACCCTTTTCCCATTGACCCTATCCGCTCTCCTCGTCAACCTCCAGTGGTGCTGCCACCACCACTCAATGTCATTGCCTCTCGTCGACCACGGACTTTATGCTGATCCATACATGCGCTTAGTGTTTACTCGGCCAACCAGTTTATGAATCCTGGCCCTGCACCCCAGCCTCCCGACAACAGACCGCGTCTCAACCTGACTCCTAACCCGAATCTCCCAGGCAGCATGGCGAACATGGCAATCTCCCCAATTCGCAGCACCGCGACCTCTACATACACCGGCTCTACGATATCTCTGCCCATTGCTCGCCAGCAGACCAATATGACAGACGGTATGGGTGGCGTCGCCGTCCGAAAGGAGGGATGGGCGTCGATCAAGGAAAATAAGAACCTATTCCAGCCTTGGAAAAACAAGTACTTGATTCTCCGCAAGGAGGCCATCGACTTTCACAAGACAGAGGGCGGCAAGGTGGCGTATAGCCTGCACCTGAAAGACGTCGTCAACGTGGGCAGAGTCGAGGCGGCAGGCACCATCTTTGAGATTAAGCGGAGGGCAGACGGATCATCCAACAGCCCTGGTGACGATGATGGCCAGAACAACAAGGCGCTTCACATCAAGGTCAAGTCTGAAGACGACTTGTACGAATGGATCGACTTCATATACGGCGCTTGCCCTGGCATGGGCGGCGTGAGCAACCCGACCAACTTCGCGCACGCCGTCCACGTCGGATTTGACCCGCAGACTGGAGAGTTTGTTGGCTTACCGCCGGAATGGTCCAAGCTGCTCAATTCTTCGGCTATCACCAAGGAAGACTATGAACGTAATCCTCAGGCCGTTTTCGAAGTCTTGGACTTTTATACTACTGACCTTGCCAAGAAGTCTGATGATCCGTTTGCAAATGCGCCCCCCGGAGCCATGCAGAACAAGCCCATGGGCATGGGCGGCGGCGGCAATGGCGTTGCACCTCCTCGCCCGCCTCCTCCCGGCAGCAGCAACTCCCAGTACAGCCCCAATGGCCAGAGGCGCCCCGGCCCCGGCCAGCAAATGCAAAACTCATCGCCAACCTACACGTCAGCATCCGATGCCGCAAGAGACGAGCAGAGAAGGCGGCAGCGCGAGCAGGAGGAGCGAGAGCGGCGAGAGATGGAGGAATACAACGCGTCTCTTCCCAAGACCAAGGTTCCCATGGCCCAGCAAGAGATTGGTGGTGGTGGTGGTGGTTATGGCGGTGCCGATCGATTCAACCCGTCCAGAGCAGCTCCGCCAGCACCCAAGCCTCCTCAGCAGATTAGTGCTCTGAAGGCCCAACGGCCGGCACCTTCACCACCGACTGCAGGTGCCGGACGACCTCCTGTTGTTCCGCAATCTGGCTCAGCTCCTCTGCCCAGAGGACCGGCACCGCAGCGCAACGAGAGCCCCAACTCGCGAGCTCCCGCCGCGGCAACCCAGCAGAGACAGCCTCAAGCTCAGCAGCCCCAGGCCGCTCGCATGCCTGCCCCTGTCAAGCCGCTCAACGTTTCCAAGGTCAACCAGAACCAGGCACCGAGCGAGCCCAAGCCGGCCGAGCCAGCACCGCCCAAGCAGACTCCTGCTGAGCGCAAGCAAGATGTACGCATGTCAACCATGACAGAGAATGAAGTCATGGCCAAGTTGAAGGAAGCTGTCTCAAAGGAGGACCCCAACCTCTCCTACTCGAAACAGAAGAAGATCGGACAGGGTGCCTCTGGCTCGGTATATGTTGCCAAGATCAAAGACACTGCTGTGGGAATCGCTCGCGACTTCCTCCGCCAACAAGGACCCAGGGCACAAGTTGCCATTAAGCAGATGGACCTCGCTCACCAGCCCAGAAAGGAGCTGATTGTGAACGAGATCATGGTCATGAAGGATAACCGTCACAAGAACATTGTCAACTTCCTCGATGCTTTCCTTCGAAACAACAATGCTGAGCTTTGGGTGGTTATGGAGTTTATGGAAGGCGGTGCCCTGACTGACGTTATTGATAACAACCCCTCAATAACAGAGGAACAGATTTCCACCATCTGCCACGAGGTAAGTTTTTCTTTCTTTAGCTTTTTGGCAATCGGCGATGATATTGACCATAGATTTAGACCTGCCAAGGCTTGCAACACCTTCACGCCCAGAGCATTATCCACCGAGACATTAAGAGCGACAATGTTTTGTTGGATGCCCGAGGAAATGTCAAGATTAGTAAGTCACCTTTTTGAAGCTTTTTGCTATATAGGGAGGAATTGTCTGGCTAACAATTGCGCAGCCGATTTCGGTTTCTGTGCCAAGTTGACCGAGGCCAAGTCCAAGAGAGCGACCATGGTGGGAACGCCCTACTGGATGGCACCAGAAGTTGTCAAGCAGAAGGAGTATGGCCCCAAGGTTGATATCTGGTCACTGGGTATCATGGCGATTGAGATGATTGAGTCTGAGCCGCCGTACCTGAACGAGGAGCCGCTGAAGGCTCTGTATCTCATCGCCACCAACGGAACGCCGCGTCTCAAGAAGCCTGAGAAGCTCAGCAAAGAACTCAAGGCCTTCCTTTCGGTCTGCTTGTGTGTCGACGTCAAGAGCAGGGCCTCCGCAGATGAGCTGCTAGCTCATGATTTCTTGCAGCACGGCTCTCCCCTGTCAAGCTTGGCAGATCTATTGGCATTCAAGAGGAATGCGAAATAAAAGTGATAATGTCTATTGAGCGAGCTTGGAGAACACACACAAAAAAAAAGGAAGAGAGATTAGTGTTGTCCGAGTCTATATGTTGGTGGCCTCTGTTTTATCCCCCTTGCAGCGCCATTCTGGCAGAGCAGTGGCCGACTCCACATGACCTTTGAATCATTTTTCTGGTGCTTTGGCGTTTTTCCTTGGTTGACATTTACTCTACAATTTTCTTGCTTTGTGCTTGCCTGCGTGCGCGCGAGTTAGCACAGCTCCCCCTTTTTTCAAAGATATCTGCATGATTTAATCAAGAGACGAGACCTACGGGGTTTCTTGGGACTTGGATAGAAAGACGAGTCTCGAGGAATAGTTACTTCCTGAACGAGTTTACATGATGGGGGTGGCTATCACGGCTCCACGCTTTTTAGATGTAGATTTATACGATATAGAACGAATAAACCGTTGTTGTAATGAGATTCAGGTTTGACTGTACTTTACACATCAATTGCTTTAGCATATGGCCAAGTAACGACCTATAGTCGTACTCTATGAAGCGCATATTATTAGCTGCAGCTAGTACGAAGAAAGAAGACCAATCCCAGTGTGCTTGCTTCAGAGGTGCTTCTGTTCAACAATCTTATAGACTACCCCTTGGTGACCACATAGAAATTTTTGATTGGCGAGATGGGCGGCAGAGTGTGGACAAATTGAGAGATGGGGTTACATGGAGAAACAGGAGATGTGGAAACCAAGGGAGAGAGTCAAGAGTATTGGCCATTAATGGAGCCATGGAGAAGCACCTTTGTACCCCCTTTTTTTGATATTTTTTCTGGCAAGAGCGAGTTAAAACGACCAATACCATCCATCATATATACTGTAGGCACAAGTTTCTAAACACAATGATGAGGCTATGGAGGGTTGCGATGAACTTACGATACAAAGCAACAGTTCGGGACACTTTTACGGCTTGATCGGGATCCGGGCATGTATGGCCCGAATGGTTGGCAAAAATAGCCTATCTACTAGTAGCTTTCAGGGTTTCCATTTTTTCTATTTCTTAGCAGGACACTATCTGAGGGAAGGAAAAGGATGCATTTTGTTACGAACTTGTGGCGTTGGCTTTTTGGAAAGTTACGCTCTCCTGATAGGGATATTTCTAGATATGAGAGCATATAGGTACCTTGGGTATTTATAGACTACTCTCGTGTTAGTCGGCGCTCTGGTGGCGTATATCCCTTACAGTTGGCGATTGCGTACAACTACATGTAAACTACTGGACGCCACTGCAGGGCGGAAGACATTGGGGGTCTCGTAGGCAGCTGTACGGAGTAGCTGAACTGCAACTGCCCGCCTGGCGGTGATTTAGTATCAGCCAATGTGGCTTACTAATAAGTTCCAGCTTCTTGAGGTATTATTTTCTATCGGATTCCGATTCCAATGATCAACTTGTGGCCCCTCGGCGGGCAGCGGCAGGTGAGTTTAGACGGCACGTCGGTATATATGGAGTCCAACAAGAGGGAATAAAATAGGAAAAGAAGCTGCCCTAGACTTATGGCTGCTGGGACGGGAAGTGCGGATCGCATCACAGGCGTAGGGACGGGACTGGAGGCGACTCTCATTACTCGCAACAGTCTAGGCGTTGGCGTACTGGTATTTCAGAGGTATTTGGCGCAGCCAGCGTCAAAAACAACCGAAGGGGCATCCATAGATATCATTTCTAGGGCTTAGGTAACCCTCATCAAAGTCGTCTGTATGTAAAACATCCAAGCGCTCTGTGCTCGAAGGATTGAGCTTAAAACAACATAAGGCCGGGGAAGGCCTGTCAGACGCTGATCAGTGCGGAGTGAAGCGAGCGAGCCACGAAATCCGAGATGCGAGAGACCTGGGCCCCCCCTAGGCCTGGAGGCAGTGGTGCTAAAGCAGGCTAGCCTGGAAGTACCGGGAGGAGGTTCGAAGTCCATGGACAAATATAGAAGACAGGAAGACAGACGATTGACCGTGAAGACAAGAATGAAAAGAAAAGCTGGGTAAAAAGGGGGAAAGCACAGCCATTGGTCTGTTTGGAATGCCATCATCTGCTCCCTACGTGCATGGTGCATGGAGGGCTATGCCTACCCAAGCCCAGCGTTGTGTGCTGTGCCCATTAGCAGCGGCTGCTCCAGCGCTGGCTCCCGCGTTTCAAGATGGCGTTGGGAGTGGCGGCCTTTGGGCCGATCTCTTGTCGCAGCCAGAGCAGCAGCAGCCCTTTTTTGCCTTTGCAGCGCTGCCGCCGCGGACTAGACTTGAAGCGGCAACATCTCAGGGGCACGGCACGCGCACACAAGTGAGGGCAGCTGCTTGGAGATGTGTTAGTATTGAGGACTGGTGTGTGCGAAGCAACTTGATCCCTATTGTAGCGGTAGTAGGCAACGGTGGCTGTTGTAGCTGGTGCAGAACAATCACAGCTGATATACGCCACAAAGCAAAACAAGCCGCAGCTAAACTTGCAAGGTGGTCTCTATTTTCTCCAAGGTTCTTTTTCCCATCAAACCTGCTCGCATAGGCAAATCTGCTCAGGCGGTGTATACCTTAGCTGATGTGACTGTTGCCGGTATCCGCACCCTGGTTAGCGGGTAGTGCCGCACCAACTCGCCAAATATTCACGTACAGTATCTGACGGCGCCCCAGTCGTCTCAGTACCACCCCGCAAAGTACCTGGCCACATCGCCGGGCAGCTGTGCGGCACAGGCAGTGACGAGGCCAGCAGGTACCGCCGGACCTCTCGACGACAGCGCAACCGCCAACGTCGACTTTTGGCAGTTGAGCTTCTTGCTGCCAGGCCCCTTGGCTCAGCGTCTTTTCCCTCTTCCACCCCCAATGCCAGTGCAAGGCCTGTATATTGATCGCGACTTCGTCTTCACAGTCCTCTCGTTCGAGCCTGTTCCTCAGCTCCATCCGGGCAACGCAGCTGCGGCGGCAATTCCTCGCTGAAGTCGTCATCCTGGGGCGCCGACTTTCCGCACACCAGCCAGCGGAGTCCATGTCCAAATCCTCTGGGCCTGTGTGCGTGTGCCTCCACTCCCCGTTTCTCGACGCTCAGCAGAGGTGTTAGTCCGGTTTTTCTCGCAACATCATCTTGTAATACAGGCTACTGGATCTTCTTTTTCCTCTTCTTCTCTTGCCATTTGCCCGGCCTGCACTCCCTTTTTCTTTCTTCTCCTTCTTCGTCCATTTTCTCTCTGCTTTCTGCATCGTCATTGCCCTCGGCTCTATTGCTCAGCGGAACCACCACGTCATCCTGGCCTCTTTTTTTCCCTTGACCGATTGGCTTTTTTTCTAGAGACCAAGCTTCGACGAGCATCCACCTGCTCCCCGTTCATCGCATCCATACTAGACGAGAGGCGTTTTGCTCCCCGAGAAAATAATATTTCCTAGTGCATTCTAGAAAAGCGGACGGAATCAAAAGCGAAAAAAACAAAGTACAGCAAAAAAATTAATTTGTAGCGCCGTATTCCCATGCGGCCACCTGGATAATCGATAATGTCAGCTTCCAGATCCGACCATTTGGCACTCGGCTATTCCTCGCACTCTGCCAGCCAAAACCGCTCCAACTCTCCCTCCGCCACAAACTCTCCAATCGATCCCTTGTCGACCACCGCAAGGTCGGTCTTTGGCCTCCCCGGCAGTATGAATTCGAGTAGCATTATATCCAGCAACACGCGATCCGGAACTGGCTCTCCGTCGCACGAAATGGCGGGCTCCAGCCGGCTGTTTTCGAAAAGGTTCGTGGCACAACGATAGCTCCGCCTCTCCTCCACTCCCAAAACACGCCACGAGAAGCAACACAAGAGGGTTTCTCTATTTAAACCCTCAAGACAAACTTCCACTGCAACTCTCCATCGGTCTTCTGCTAACAATCATTAATGTTCAGGGCTCGCGAGATCCAGGCTCAAGAAGGCGTTCCTGGCTTGCCTCTCAATCCATGGGGCGGGCCACCGACAAGTGGGAATTCGACTCCTCTCCGAGAAAATATCCCCGAGTCGCCCACCGACGGCTTTCCAAACTTTGCTCAGCTGCCCACGCCTGAGACCTTGCCTCCCACCAGGCGTGCTCGAGCTGGCACTGTGCCCTCGCGATTTCCTGGTGGCATTGGTAACGGTCTGCTGGCTATACCTGGAGTTCCTGCCAACAAATCTGCTCGCGTTACGCCATCCCAGAGTCCGTTCAACAAATCGCCATCTCCCAGCATTGAACACCCAGACAACACCAACAACGGTACCAACAACGGTACCTCAACCCTCCTGTCCAGGCTTCGTGCCGGGTCTATGCCACAGCGTAGCCCTTACGCTAACCTGCCAACTTCTGCCTCGCCTTTTGGTCCCTCAATCTTCAGCAGCTGGAACCCGTCGGGTATGGGCCGCGAACGAGCTACTACTCTGGCCAGCATCGCAAGCGTCGGCTCCAACGGTCCCAGTTCACCGGCTCAGTCTCAATTTTCCAGAGAAGGGGGCGGAGAGTCTGATGTCCATATGAGAACTCTGGACTACCTTGGACTCGCTGAAACTCCTCAACCCCAAAGAGCTCAACTTGCTACTCCCACCTACATATCCAGCTTCGACATGACTCGGCACGCCAGTCGCTTCCGTTCCTACTCTGTCAACAACAAGGACAAGTACGCTGACGAGGATGACGACTATGACGCCGATCTCCCAATGGACAGTCAGTATGCAGCGCTGCAGGATCAACTCGCTGCCACTCAGGCGGCTATCCACAACCACAACATGGCAGTCCGCGCCTACGCAAATCAGACCACGAGACCGCGTGCTCGTACCGCGGGTGTGCTGGACACGCCGGGAAGCCGCTTAGTGGGGTCTTACGGCAACAGCAATGCCACTGGCTCTATCCCCCAAGCTGAGATTCGCCTGCAGGAAGAGAAAGAGTATGATGACATCTCCCAGGCAGTTGCTGGCATGAATCTGGGACGGTCCAACAGCACCAATGCCGGCCATCTCAACCCCGAAGAACAAAATCTTGATGGCCCAACCAGTGCTCTTTGGCTTGGCGGCATTCCTACCTCCACCACTACCTCTACCCTCGTCGAAATGTTCAAGTCTCATGGACCGATTCTCTCAGCTCGCGTCCTCACACATAAGAACTGTGGATTTGTCAATTTTGAGAGGGTGGAGAGTGCAGTTTCTGCCAAGGCTAGCATGAATGGTAAGGAAATCTTCCCTGGCGCTGGACCTATCCGAATCAACTTTGCCAAGCCTCCCTCTGCCTCCAACACTCCGGGCCACGATGGAGCATTCCCATCTCCCAGCCCTGATCCCTTTGGCAAAGCTCAAGAGGCAAACAAGGGAGCTTCATCCGCTAGACCTGGCGAAAGCTCGTCGGTTGCTGCTGGAGCCCTCAACAGCGCCACGCCAACGTTGCCACCTTTGCGCGAAATGACTTCAGATATTCTCGACATCGTGGGAGAGTTCGGCGCAAGTGACGAAGACAAGGCTCGAATCTCCACCAGCGTGCAGTCCGCAGTCCAGTTCAGCGCCTTCTTGGAAGATATCCCCCCAGTTCGCGAACCCACTCACACAAGGGTTCACGATGCTCCCAAGCTGAGAGACATCCGCAAGCGCATCGACAACCAGATGCTTTCTCAGGCGGAGATTGAAAACATTGCTGTGGACATGCTCCCTGAGATTGCCGAGCTTGCGTCTGACTATCTTGGTAACACCGTCGTCCAAAAGCTATTCGACCACTGCTCCGATCAGCTGAGAGATGCCATGCTTGCTGAGATTGCGCCACATCTAGCTGAGATTGGTATTCACAAGAACGGAACCTGGGCCGCCCAGAAGATCATTGATGTGTGTAAGACACCCAGTCAATTGTCCCTGATTGTAGAGCACCTTCGGCCCTACACTGTCCCACTCTTCCTGGATCAGTATGGCAACTACGTCTTGCAAGGATGCCTCAAGTTTGGCGCACCTTACAACGACTTCATCTTTGAGACGATGCTTAGCCAAATGTGGGAGATTGCACAAGGCCGCTATGGTGCTCGAGCCATGAGGGCCTGCCTGGAGAGCCACCATTCGACAAAGGATCAACAGCGGATGCTGGCTGCCGCCATTGCCCTGCACAGCGTTCAGCTTGCCACCAATGCAAACGGAGCGTTGCTGTTGACCTGGCTGTTGGATACCTGCACTTTCCCCAATCGCCGGCACGTTCTTTCGCCGCGACTGATTCCCTACCTGGTGCCCCTATGCACCCACAAGGTGGCCTACCTCACAGTGCTTAAAGTGATCAACCAGAAGAATGAGGTCGAGGCTCGCGACAATATTTTGAAGCGTCTCTTCATCTCTCCAAACGATCAGGTTCTCGAGGCTATTCTTAGCGACCAAGCTTGTGGAGCTACTTTCATCTTCAAGGTTCTTACGACGCCATTTTTCGAGGAAGGTATGCGAACCGAGGTCACGGAAAATGTTAAAAACGTCCTCGTCAGGATCAAGGCACAAGCAAACCAGGGTTATAAGCGCCTCATGGATGAGGTCGGCCTCGCAACCCGGACTGCTGGACCAAATCGTGAGACTAGCACTCACGCAGAACAACGACAGAGACCGGCCTCGCGGCAGACCAATGGCCAGCATGGTCAGCAAGGCGGCCAGTCTAACAAGGCTTTCTACAACGCCAACTCTGGGGCTCCCAACTTTGAAAATCAGCAGAGGGGTGATAATGCCGATGCTGGAGCTCCTCCTTTCCCTGCCTTCAACACAGGCATGATGTACAACGGACAAAACGGCCCTATGCCTCCCGCAATGAATATGCCACAGCTACAGTATCAGCAGGGCATGATGAATCGAGGAAATCCGCAGATGAACTACCCATACCCTCCGATGCAACCTGGATTTGGCGGCTACGGCAACGCTGGTCAGCCGATGGATCAGTATCGCCAGCAGAATATGCCCAATGGCAACCCGATGCAGCCTCCAGCTGGTGGCCATCAGCCCTACGCCCCGCCCCCCGGCTTTGGTATGGCTGGTGGAGGATATGGCTATAGCGGAAACATGGGAGGAGTGCCCAACAATATGGGCTATATGCCGCAAGAGCAAGCCAACGGTAGACGCGGTCGCGTACGTCCCTCATCTTCCAACAGCCGACAAGGCCGTAATAATTACTAACATGCCTCACTTCCCAGAGAAAGTAAACTTTCTTTGACTGACAAACTCATGGCGGCGTTGTATGACTATAAGTCTTCAACCAATGTGCGTATGCCTTTGTATTGCAGCTGGCCGGTCAGCTGAGGCAAGAATTCCTTTTTCATCTGCCGCGCGCGGAGTTTGGTAAAAATGTGAAATTTGATATAGAGGCCCCAAGGCAAATAGTGCTCGCCTCCAGCGGGCTCTGGTCTAGGCAAAAATACTGGCCAAGGATACCTGTTTCCCGAGGATGCAGGGGCTAATGTTTCTACGTCGAGGATTTCTCATTACAGCCACTATGAATCATTCCTCTGTTCAGACCTAATAGCAGCGTGTGCTGGGCTGGTATCCCACATTCAAGCCGCCGCGTATAAAGAGACAGACAGAGGCATATACATTATTGTGTTCTTTCTTTTAACAATCATGTTTGGACGGTCACGGTTATGAATCGACTTTTTTTACGCTGGAAAAGAAAAAATCGGAATCAAAATTTGCGGAAAGCGCTGTCAAATTATTCGATTTTCTCCTGATGTCTAATGTGATTTTGTTTTTCGTTTCTTTGCCTTTTTTCACCCTATCTCCTCTTTCGTCCCCCCCCCCTCTTTTTTTCTCATGTCGTTTCTTTCGGTGTAGCAATCACGCGACGGTTATGTCTTTTTAACTTGTGACGAGATTCAACGAATAACCTTTCTCTTTTCTCTTTACCCCCCCTTTTAAGACAAAAAGCTGGCGGTTGTTGTTCACCTTCAGACTTTTTATGCTTTATTTCCTTTTTTTTTCTAGCTTGATAGGACTTGTTTATAATGTCTTGTTCGAACAAGGTTGGATGAAGAGAGCGAAGAGCAAAAAAGTGGCGATAGATTGAGATAGCAAGAAGGATATTTCTGAATCAAAACCATCCATTCACTCACTGTATGTGATTTGGAAAGGGGATTGAATGTTTTTGTCAAAAGAAGATTGCGATATGAGTAGCTTCTTTGTTTTCTTTTCTTTCTGCATCTCATCAGCGGTTGCGGTGGCTAAAAGATGAGAAAAAATTTTGCTTGACGGCTGAAATGAAGAGTAGTTGTATATTATGAAACAATAAAAAAGTTTTTTTTTCCCTCACCTATAGAATAAATCCATATATTGACATTGAAGTGATAACGATCTGATGCTGACTGGGAAATTTTCAACGGAATTGGTTTCACTTTCATATGACGCGATTGATAGGTGTACAAGATCGCTAACAGTGTCCCCAATCTTGCACAATATTGGCAAACTAGGAGATTGCCGTACAGTTTCTTCGTCAAACAACTCATGTCACTAGATAGAAACGCAGTCACGGCTTCGATATATATATACGATACAGCTTCGAATACCATTACTACTAGAAGTCTGCAACTATTTCTCATTTCTTCATTGTTCCTCTCGCTCTCCTCTCACAAAAGCCCCATCGTATTTTTTAGTCTCCACCTCTCCTCTGATCTTCAGTCTCAGCCCATCCATCCCCCAGATCGAATAACCCTCACTGGAGACGCACACAAATTGCATGCTATCCGCTTTGTTTTTGCTCTCTCTCTCTCTCTCTCCAAGTCACACAGTATAAATAAATACCGAGAAGAGGAAGAAAATAATTAGGGATGAAAAGATTCACCTTGCCAGCTCGCCATGGATATATAAAATTGCAGTCTCGGATTCCATTTGTTTTCCTTCCAGCTCTCGCATAAAATGCCAAAAGAGTAGACAACGTCGCGCGTAGAGAAGAAAAAAGAAAAGAGAAAAAAGAAGGAAAAAAAAGACAAGTGCCAGAATCATACCAGTGTCAAAACCAGATTTGCTCAAGGTGATCGGACGAAGCAAAAATGATATATTTTGCAAATAAGAAAAAAAAAATCAATTATAGCCTCCCAACTCCTGAATTCATCTTGCTTCTCCTCAGAAACAGAGAGAAATAAACTAAGAGAAAATTGTGATATAAAAACACTGTGTGAAAAGAGCTCCCTCCAATTGGGGCCGTGAACACCGACCCATTGGGGCTGTCTGCAATTTGGAGATTCCAATTCTTCTATGGCAAAAGGAGATAAAAAGGGCGGTGGGGTTGTGTCGTAGTCAAGCAGTCGTAACAGTCTATCGATGCCGCAATTCGGCTACCCTCTCTGAAAGCAAAATCTGCATGGATAAAGGGAAAGGAAGCATCGCCATTGTTTCTTTCGAAAATCAATCGAGCTCCATGGTAACCTCTCCGTGGTCCACGGTGGAGGGTGGAGTGGGTTCGGTAACGGGGGCCAATGGCTCCGCCTTTTCTGGAAATGTGTCCACGTCGGAAGTGTCGGTGACAGGTGAACCTCTGTCGTTGGTCTTGTAGGTGACTGAGGTGGGCGGCGGGGCTTCATCGCCTAATAAATGGCGAATCCGATCGCCCATGGCGTTCATTTGTGCCAGCATAGCACGAAGACCCATCTTATCTTCCTGAAGAAGATGACCAGATGCTATGTTGTCCGCATTGGCCTTCGCCATGAGGGCCAGGACATTATCATCAGCAGTGAACTGCACAGAGTTAGTGACATGTACTCAGGATAGGCAGACAAAAGTGCAGGTCTGTGCGGCAGGGCTCTGTGGAGGTAGCTCCTTACTAGAAGTGCAGCCGTAAGCTGATCGATGTTCTCGGACCGACTCTGCTTGAGGCCCAAGAGATTCAGAGACGCTTGCATCTCATTTACTTTGCGGTCATAAGCAGAGCCAGCAAGCACACCGCCTGAGTCGCTCGCAGGTAGGCTTGCATATGGCATCCATCGCGTCTCATAGTGGCGAGGGCCATATCCGGCACCGCGGTGTCTTAATCTTGAAGGAAGACGGTGTTAGCAAGGCAAAAATACGTTACGTAGTCTGAAAAGCGAGCCTGTACGTACTGCTCGATGAAATCAAGGACGACCCCCTTAGCCTGTAGCCTGTACGTCTTGCCAAAGGAATCGGGGTCGCGCCAGCCTGATTTTTCAGGTTCCTCGGGCTCATCACCCCAATCAAGTTCGATGTGACCGTTGTTGTTGTTGCCGCGGCTGAAGACAGGCGAAATGGCTTGACCGCCTTTGAGTTTGCGGAAGCGATGCGCTGGCGCCAGAGGAGGCACGTCTCCCAACACATCATCAACGTGTGCTGGGCATCGCCAAGTCTTCAAGACGGGCGGCATAGCCAATGGTGGATCGAGACAGTCAATGTGCCAATGAAAGGGGCAGGTGTTGCAAGGGATGATTGCTCGAATCTCAGTGGCTGGCTTCTGGCACGCGTGGCAGATTACCGCCTCGCCATCCTCCCTTTGTTTAAAGAAGTCTGGCAGCTCATCGTAGCCAGCACGCTTCCTAAGAGGAGAGGTTATGTCAGTCGTCCATACGGGTAAAGGGAAGAGAGGCTGCGGCTTCAAGTCGCGCCACCCAGCCCAGAACCGAAGTCAAGTTGAGACTAGGCAGCGAGCCAGAGCGAAAAGACTTACTTTGTTCTGTTAGTCGTCACTTCTTCGTAGTCACCATCAGCCCCAGCCTTGACACCCTCGAAACGAGTCTGTGTCTTTTTGGGGAGGCTAAAGGCCCGGGGAATACTCTTCTCCAAGGCAATGAGAGCGCTCGCGAAGACGCCTTTATAGACGGGCACGCGAGAGGGATAGCGCCGGAAGCTGCATTCATTGCAGTACCATTCGTCTGGAAGATGGTCAGACTGCACCATGTCCACGCACTCAAAGTGGAACGAGCGCGGGCAGCCATCACAGCAGACGACATCGCCGGTGTTACCACATGCAGAGCAGTATTCATCGTTGTCGGAGCCCTAGGATGCCCACACTTGTCAGCACAGTTTCCCCCCATTGTCGTATTACACGTTGCATCATCCCCCAAATCTAGACAGCGTGCGCAGGCCAAAACCGCAGCCACTAAAATCTGCGTGGTTGGAGATCCTTGCCCCCCTCCTTGTTGTGGCACCCAGGTCAAGATAACCATACAGCGGCTTTTGATCCGAAACAAGGGAAGGAATGACAGTGCGAGAAAAAAAAAAGGATGCGTGCTGCAGACGGAAGTAGATGAAAACCCTTGCCTCTCTCGAGGCTGTTTGATTCTCACGGCCAAGGTTGAGCACAAAAGCGTAGATTTGCATCACCTAACAGGGCTCTTCCCGTCCACAAAAAAACACAAAGGTTGGAAAAAAAAAAAAAATCACATACCTGATCCCTTGGTGCACCATTGCTGGTTGTTGCTGACGGTGTCTCGCCGGTTGAGCGAGGAACGCCGGCAGCAGTACCGCCCTTCTTCTTCATTGGCCTGTGATGAAATTTTTTTAGTAAAGGCGGTTTGGTAGTAGTGAGTTTAAGAGAGGATCTCAAAGATGAGAAAATGATGAGGAGAGCGATGAAGAGTTATACTTCATAATGAATCATGATAGTTGAAGAAGTGAAAAGTGAGAAGTGATTTACCATTCATGCAGGCTGAAAAAGCTCTCATAACATGAATGACGCGTATGTATGGCTTCACAACAGACAGCATTACTCAATGCATCCGGCCTTCTTTTCGTATTTTCTCACAGAATAAGAGACAAAGAGTGTGGTATTAGGGATCTTGAAGCAAAGATTGAAAAGAACAAAAAAAACAAAAGAGAAAGTGACGTGTGAGAAACAAGGATTGAACTCACGATAACTTGATGCGAAGACCCGTTCTCGGCTTCTTTGTCGGCCGCAGCGCAGTTGGCGTAACAGCACGCGATCCAACAGTTGAACTGCCTTCATTAAATGAAAAAGCCAAAGGTGATGAAACGGCGATATCGACGTCGTCACCGACATTGTTGCTGCTTGGCCTCTTGCTGGCTGATCGCGTGGCTCGCGTGCTAACGGGAGCCACCAAAGACTGCCGCGATCTTCTCGTCTTCCTCGCAGGAGTCACCTCGCGCTCCTCATCATCGCCATTCCGTATTGAACTTTCCCGTGCAGTGTAGGCGTTGGTGGCCTTTTGAGCATCGCGACGCCGAGTCCAAAACAAGTCGTCGTCATCTGCAGGCATTTGAGCCTTGGCAGCGAGGCCGCCGTCCTTGAGACAAGCCGACTTGCTGTTGTTGCCTGTGGATTTGCTGAGCAACAACTCTGAACCGGAGACCCTGCCAGGCATACTGGCATCGGTCGCGGATGCGTGGGTGCGGCTCGGATGTGTGGGAGAAGTTGGCTCCGAAGAGTTGGACACGGGCTGCTTGTCGGAGGCGAGAGATTTGCGGCGGGCGCTGGTGATTGGCCGAGATTTTGGCGCATCATGGGACGACTGGGACCGGTCCCCCGTAGTCGACGCAGCAGCAATCACAGTGTCAGCGACCGTGGCACCACCACCGCTGCCTCGGCCACCACTGGCAGACTGATCGTGCGCAGATTTGTTTGATTTGGCTGCCTTTGCAGCAGTGAGCTGGAGGCTGGGGCTGAGGCTGTGGACGCTTGCTTCTGGCGACGAGAGGCTCATGGCTGAGGACAGGGATGACTCGCTAGAGCCCGAGTCCCGTCGATTACGCCTACGCGACGGCGTTCGCACGCTGTCGCCGTGCGCCTTGCTCCCGTTGGCCATCTTCTTGCTGCGCGGAGTGTCGTTGGCATGAGAAGTCTTGCTTCTCTTGGCCGCTCGCACCTCACCGCTGTCGTCGTCGGCGTGATGAAGCAGGAGCCGGGCATACGGAGCAGCCTTGGGCTTGTGCGGAGTGAATCTGCTGTTCGTAGAAGGGGGCACGAAGTAGTAACAGCCTTGATCGTCCTTTTTCCCTTCGCGCTTCTTGACCTCAATTAGCCGAGCGAATTCATCCATCGTCTCGGCATCAGCCCTTTGCTTGAACACATCCTCAATCATGGCCACAAACTCAGAGTCGCCACTTCGTTCATCGTAGAGTGATCGTAGAGCCCAAGCCGTAGGATAACGGTAGTGCATGAGCGCTTCATCAACGGCCGCCTCGACGACCTTGTCCGCAAACTCTGCGTCGTCAGGCTCCCGCCGGTGCACGCGCTTCGGAGTAGTCGCCACTGGCTTGGGCTTTGGCGGAGAAATCACAACAGTCGTAACATTCTTGGCCTCGCTGGCGCTGGCGCTGGCGTTTTGCCGTGCCTGCTTGGCAGGTAGCGACACGCGCCGCGATGGCCGCCGACGCGCAGCTCCCTTGGGGTCGTATTCCTCATCTTCAGCATCCTTGGCGGCCTGTCCCCTCCTGTGCGATGGCGCTGACGCGGGAGGCGGCGGCGTGGAGGGAGCGGGGGGAGACGACGCCCTCGGTTTGGCCCTATGCGCCGCTTGGTCGTCCTGGTGGTTTGCGGCATGCGACGATCCGGATGGCCTGAGGATGATTTTGCGAACTGGCTGATGTCCCGGCCCAGCCTCGCCGCCCGTCTTCTTGGGCTTGGGCAGCGTCCCCAGCGGCGCCATGGTCTCGAGGACGCCGTATCTCATCAATCCCGCCTCCTCGAAGCTTGCCTTGCTCTGGACGGACGGCTCCAGCCATCGCTGCATGAACGTTTTGGATCCCTCATTGGCGGCAGAGCTCTTGGCCTCCAGCGACCGCGACGGGCTGGAGAAGCGCGACCGCGACGCCCTCGTGTTGGAGGAAATCATGATGTTGGGCCTGGCGGGTCGAGTTGCTGGTTGCCCCCAGCCCTGGCCGCGGGACGGGCAACGCTCCTCTCGAGAAGTCTAGGGGAAAAGGAACGGGTCAGCCGCGGGATCTGGCAAACTGTGGGCGACGAAAAGCACGCGGGAATCAAAATTGTACTTCTCACTGCAGCAACAGCGGCATCAACTATCCAGGCTCGATGCTCGCTTTTTCTCTCTTTTCCGCCGGCTGGACGCGCGTGGCTTGGGATGAGGCAAGGGCTGGCTGTGGGTGCAGGTTCTGGATGAGTTTCGGAGGAGGCGGCCAGGCTGTTGGACAAGGGGGGCGACCCAGTGGCACGTCCAAGGTTCAACACTTTCCCTCCACCACGGATTCAGAGTTCCGCCGTAAGGCCAGCAGGCAAACTCGAGTAAAAAAATTTTATCGCTTCGCAGTTGGGATGCTTGCACGCAATGGATGGATTTGCAATGAGGCAGAGGCGGTCTGGGCTGCCTCGGCACATCGAATGGCTTTTGATGCTTGTAACTGCCTCCTTTCAGTTTGTCCAGGTAGACTCACGCTCGGCTGATACTCCCAGCAACGCCTCTTTGATCTCGTCATTCTATCCTACCTATTCTCGTATCTTCTACGGCTCTCTCGTCTACATCCATTTGCCATCTATTTTTTCCGCCCCATGCTTGTCCTCTCCATTTCGCCCTCTGTTCCTTTTTCCCCTGTTGAGGCTCCCTGGACCACTCAAATACACCATCTCGAGTCACGGGTCCAGGTCCGAGCCTGGGCATACCTGCATTAGTTACATGAGGGCATCTGCTACGTGTGAGCCTTTATTGCGATATTTTCCCCCTGCTTACTAGGTAGGCACCCACTGCCGCCAGCCTTGCCTGTTGCCTCTGTATGACAGCCTGCCTGGCTTCCCTGGTGTTGAGTCCTGCCATGGCCTTTGTCCCCGCTCGGCTCTCGAACAATGATGAGCAGCAATCATGCCCAATCATATCGCTTCGTACCAAGGCGAGCCTATGGGGAAACCATACTCTGCGCTGCCTTCATGATTGATCCTCATGTTGCCCCTTTGCATGCTTCCTATATCTTTTCTTTTCTCCCTCGTCATTCCTTTCTTATCTTCTGGGGAAGATAACGTCACTTCCTGTTACACTGCCTTCGCCTCTTAACAATCGCCATCGTCGTCCTCTCGCATTTATCTGTGACCAAGTTGAAATACACGTAGCAAACCAGTAGCAGCAAAAGTTTGCCTCGAAATGAGTTTGTCAGTTGTGGGTTATACTGCCTCGCTTCACTAGATTCGTAAGCTCTCTCCATCACAGCATATCTCATCACTAGACAGGTTGCACTTGCAAGAAATTGGCGCCTTGGCTTTCACAAATCGCGAAGCCAGCAAATTTGTTTTTCTTCTTCTTTGTTTTTCTTGTCGAGTGGATTTACTGCCTAAATATCAACTAGGCTGTAACCCACTTCCGGGCGGCTCTTTACATGAATCTTTGTTTCCGACACTTTACTCGGCGTCAGCCTCCTCGGCAGTTCCATCAGCCTTCTTCTTCTTGTTCTTGGGCTTCTTCTTTCCGGTATTCCTGGCCAAGGGTTGCTCGAGGATTTTCAGAATCTCCTCATCGGTGATCTTCTTGTCAGTCTGGTACTTGCTCAGATCGAGCTCAGGGGGGCCACCCAGCTTGGTGATGCCGTTCTTGGTGATGGCTGGCGTGCTCACAGGTTAGCTCATCTGCATCTGGAGATACATGTGTTTTTCCACAGCGACAACAAAACTTACCAAAGGTTGTAAGGAGTCTGGCGACGGGGGAGTTGTCCTTGTCACCAACCATCTCGTACTGGCGGAAAACGTTGTTTCGCACACACTCGACAACGCCAGACTTGGCATCACGCTCGTCTTCCAGCTGTCTCAAGCTGAAGGGGAAGGTGCCAAACTTCTTGACAACTTCGGAAAGAATCTTTCGGGAGGTGGGACGCTTCAGCTGGTAAGTCTGGGTGGTTCGGCGGTGGAGAGTTGCACGGTGGTCCAAGGTCTTGACTTTTCCAGAGCCCAAGCTCACACCGGTCTCGACGCCCCAGACCTCGCCCACTTCGGGGACACCCTCGCCCTTGGTTCCTTCGGCGGGGGCAACAACAATCTTCTTTGCTCCTTCAATCTCGTTGCGAGCAAACAGCCAAGAAGTAGTGCTCTCGACCAGCTTGGTGTCGTAGGCTTCGCACACCTTCTCCAACAGGCTGGTGATCTTGGACTGGGTGGGGGCCTTCTGGGAGGCGGCCTTGGCCTTCTCTTCGTCGGTACCCTGGGCGAGAAGACCAGGAGGGATCATCAAGCGGAGGAGGAGCTCATTAGCATAGTGGGTGGCGAGGATCAGGTCAGCGTCGCGTCCGGTAACAGGCTCGGCGGCCTTGTCCTTGGAGGTGGCGAGGACAGTGTTGCAGACAATGGAACCAAATCCGTCAATCTGAGCTCCAAGCTGGATCTTGATGGCCTCTCCCTCCTTGATCTCGATTGAGGCCTCGCTCTCATCAGTGGTGAGGGGAGTGTAGGGGGTCACGTAAGACGAAGGGGAAACAGTGGTCGGGTGAGAGAAACCTTTTATACGTCATCAGCCATCGTGCCGCAGAACAGAGGCTAAGCTGAGAATACGCATGATACTCACCCTTGACGATCTTCTTTCCACGGTAGACCTTGGCAAGCTCCTCTTCGAGCAGCTTGTCACCCTGCTGGCAGATATCGACAATTTTTGCGCCGGGCACGCAGAGCTCAGACACAGCGGCCAGGACCTTTTCGGAGATCTGAGCCGCGGTCTTGTACTTGGTGAGAGTATCCGGGTTGTTGAGGGAGTAGTCTATGCCACATCGTCAGTCTCGGTTCCCCGTGCAGGCCGCGATAGGGCTTGGAGGCTGTAGTCGTGTGCGACAGCTATGATGATAGCATATGAGGCGAGTGAGAGCTTGCTGCTCGGCTTGGCGGGGTACCCAAGTAGAGGGCGGGGAGCTTAATTGCAAGGCACAGCACATAAATACAGTGCGCACAATGAGTAGCAGAGTACATACCGACTTCCTTTGTCTCCGACATGGTGGGCAATTGATGGAGCTCGAAAGCGATTCTTGGTGTGTTTTTGGCTGGTGCAGATGTCAGAACAAGCTTGAGACTCGCTCCGTCGCAAAAAATAGCAGAGAAAGAGAGCAAGCGAAAGCTGTGGTGTGCGCAAAATTGGGACCTGCCGACTGGGGCTTTTGGAGGGGTTTATCCGGCTGTTGACGGGGCCACTACGGGGCTTTGCATGCCAGTGCAGTCATACGGACTACTAGCTGTGCTCTGAATTCAGCTCCAGCTGTTATTCAAGGCGCCAATACGAAGGGCCAGGGCGATTGTCCGGGCTGCCAGGGCGCTATTTTGTACTTTGCTGCTGCCGAGCTCGACGATTGGGCGAGCCGTGTGCCGGGAGTGGGTTCAATCGGTCCAAGTTTGTTTTGGCTTTGGGGTGGTTCTGACGTACATATTTTATGCGCCAGCAACCAACCAAACATGACCGCAAGCAGACAGCAGCTTCTCATCTAATCCTGTACTTCGCCTCTTCTACGTCAAAGCCGGGATTCCTATGGTTAGGCACTTGTAGCTTGAAATCTTTGCTTGTATACAGCAATGTCGAATGGGCGGAGCTGAGGTGTGAAAGTGCGTTGCATCACTTGACAGCCCATGTTAGGGCATAAGACGCACGTCACCAGGTCCTCATAGCGCCCTGAAGACAATGACCACCCAAAATGATAAAAGGCACTGATCTTTGTCGTGGTACTTTTAAAACCTATGATAAATAAATTGATATGTACGTATCCGTACTATGGACAGCATTCGGCATCTACTCCGCAGGCTTTGAATTTTGCGTATAATTGATCATTGCGTCTCCATTGGCCGCCTGTCGAGGTGATTGCAGGGTATGCCCACCATCAGCTACAAATGGATGAATGATATAGAGCCTATACAGCTGCTGAATCTTCGTGTTTCATCCACAGCGTGTGTACTGCTATTAGTTTCTCCCTTGATAAGTCAGAAATGAATGTTATTTTAACACTTGAATTCCTTCTGGAAATACTACACATCGTATCCCTACTTGTAACATTATCATGTGAAAGCATGGAGCGTTGATGCCATCGGTTGATCTTCGGGAAATGCGCTTCGTCTTTTTGGCTCGCTCTGATAATCTTGGAGCAGCAGCAGATGCCCTTTTGCTCTTAATAATCGATCCGGCCGCATGGGATTGGTCAACTGAGTTAGTAAGGAATTTGCGTATATCTCGAGAGCAGCGCTTTAGTCTCTACTAGCGCCCAGACATCTAGTACCAGATAGGTAGTTCTTCCCACTAGCATTAATTATCAGGAACTGCACTCATTCGCGCTGCAGCGATTAGAATCTTGTCCTCAAACCACCCAAACTCCAGGTCTCGTCGACTTATAGCGCAATTCTCACACAACCACCGCCGCCACTGCTGCCACGACGCATTCGGGTAGACACCAATCTCCGGCCCAACGCACGAGCGTCGATCCATCTGCCGCACCGCTGCGGCGACTCGGCAGCGCCAGCGCTCGCGACGACATCAGGACCACTCCACCATGGCCGCGGTTCAGCCATCAATGCCGGCGCCCGCGATAGGCTCGGCGTCGACCGCGACGTCGGTCGCTGCGTCTGACGATACAAAAGATGCCGTGTCCAAGCCGGGGGCAGCTGAGATCCCCGTGCGCACCAAGGAGTCCTTCGACCGGTTGATGGTTGAGCGCTACACGATGCGCGACTCCATCGCCGCGTCGGCCCTTAGCCAGCAACTCAACCAGACCATGAAGTCGTCCCATGAAATGCGTGAGATGATCACCGAGTACCGAAACGTGCGCAACGGATACCAGCAATGGTTCCCTCCCAGCAGATTATACGGCGAAGGCTACAACGGGTATGCCAATGGATATACAGAGAGCCACGGCCCCTCCCGAGTCGTGTATCCGTCACAGAAGCCTCGCCCCGGCCACCGAACAACCCCGCCCCTGAAATATAGCCGCAAGGATATGCTCAAGCAGGCAGAGCAGCATGAAGATTTGGTGCCGCTGCGGCTGGATGTGGAGTGGGATCGAGTCAAGCTGCGCGATACCTTCACATGGAATCTACACGAGCGTCTCTTGGCTGTCGAACTGTTCGCTGCGCAGCTAGTCGAAGACATGGGCCTGAAACCTCCTGCCTCACAGCCTGTCTATGAGCAAGTCGTGCAGCAGATGCGAGAGCAGCTCAATGACTTCTACCCGTTTGCTTATTACGAAGAAGACTCGCTAGACCCAGAGCTTCCGTATTCCGCATACAAGAACGATGAGATGCGCATCCTGGTTAAGCTAAACATCACCATCGGACAGCACACCCTGGTCGATCAGTTCGAATGGGAAATCAACAATCCGCATAACTCGCCGGAAGAATTTGCTGCCAGCATGACTCGAGATCTTTCCCTCTCTGGAGAATTTACGACGGCGATTGCCCACTGTATCCGCGAGCAGTCGCAGCTCTTCACAAAGAGTCTCTACAGCATTGGCCACCCATTCGATGGCAGGCCGGTCGAAGATTCGGATCTGGTGGCTGCCTTCCTCCAGACGCCCTTACCAACTGTTTTCCGCCCGCAACAACAAGCCAAGGAATACGCCCCGTACCTGTACGAAATGAGCGAAGCCGATTTGGAGAGGAACGAAACCGTCTTTTCTCGTGATCAGCGTCGTCAGAAGCGATCGATTAACCGAAGAGGTGGACCGCAGCTTCCTGACCTCAAAGATAGGCAACGCACCATCCGGACGCTCGTCGTCTCATCTGTGCTCCCTGGTGCAGCTTTAAACATTGAAGAGAGCAGGCTGTACAAGAAGGTGGCGGGCCCTCCTAGGAAGCGACCCGCCCGTGATGGTGAGATATCAGAGTCCGACGAAAGCGAGGATTCAGCACCCGAGTCTCCTGCGCCCTCAAATATGGCTGCTGGTACGGCGCGTACGAGGAATATGCGCGGCGCTGCAACTGCCGCCCAGCAGAGAATGGCCAACTTGGGTCGGTCAGAAACTCCAGATATATCTAGTCACCATCATGAGACTAGGACGTCGCGTCGTGTCCGCGACGAAACAGAAGAGCGCATGAGTTTATGGGTGACGCTGAGAATCAACAGGGAGAAGCTGAGGAGAGTCACGAGTGGCGATTATCGCGACTTGGCGACCCCCTCAGTCCCGCCCGATACCCCTGGCTCAACATCCAACACGAGAACACCGACCTTCACAGCTCCGCCAAGGCCCAGTGCAAACACACCTGTTCCAGCTCCTACTTCATCTTCTTCAGCCCCTGCACCCCAGTCAACAGGCGCTTCAGGGGCCGTTCCTCCCGGCCAGATAGGTCGCCTGCCCGCGCCGCCACACATTCCCGGCCAATCTCCTCCCCCAGCAGTAAGTCTCATCAAATAACTCGAATTCTCTTGATAGAAAATAGCCATTAACTCACATCGCGCTTTCTCAACAGCCTCCCCCACCGGAATGGCTTGTACAGTCATTAAGAGAGCTCGAAAGTCACTATCCTAACGGTGATAGGTTCGAAGCCATAATGAAATACTCACACCTTGACCCGGTCACGGAGCTGCCCATTCAAACACAGCCAATGCCGGAAGGCGTTAAATACGCCTGGCTTCCGCGCATCCGCTGTCTGGACTGCACAACAAAGCTTTATACCCCTGGCCCAGACATGACAGCGCAAAAGTTTGAGGCCCATCTCAAATTCTCTGGGCATCGTGAAAGGGTCAGGGCCAGACTAGCAGCCCAGGGCAATGCCGGGGGATCCTCATCGGCGTCATAACCAAACTTGATGAGAGCGAGAGCCCGTTGGAGGCTGAAGACAAGTATTAATTAGATGAGCGTATTAGAATGGGGCGTGGATCTTGAATAACGCGCTACACGAGTGCCCAGGAGCAAACCTATGACGACTTTTTTTTGGTGTTGGTAGATATATGAGGGGCGGAGGAAAGGAGAAGTAAAAAAACAGTATGCTATTTATTACAAGTCTTGTTTTAGTGTAGAGAAACGGCTTCTTACTATTCTTCTTTTTTTTTTTTTTTGGAAAGACTTTTTGTTAAATTAGGAATTAAGACGGCGGAGCAGACAGTATGACTTTTCAAAGGCCGATAGTGCCGTTTGGCAAACTCGTTGTGCATTGTGTAATTAAAATTTGGATGTTGCCAGAAAAGAAAGAGCTTTCACAATATGTATTGTCTATGCGTACAAGACGGAGAAAATAATGGGATATATAGCTTTGCAAACGGGCTTACGTCAAGTACTTATCCTCCCCATCTCATCAAGCATCATTCTCTTTTGCCCTTTCCCTCATTATTCATCATACAAGACAGTAAATCGGCTTGAAATACAAATCGTAGAGAGTAACAGGAGGTAGTAACACTAGCAGTAAAAGGAAAAACTCCTCCGCCCCCAGTGCTTAAATCAGACCCTCAGACTATAGAGAGGATAACAACAAATGGAAACAAAAGGGCGAAAACTATAACGTCGAGCACAAAACAAGAAACGATCAAACCAGAGGCCAATATAAACAATTTTTGTCTTCTTAAAAAAAGAATACAATCTCCATCTCAAAAGAAACAAAATCCCAGAAAAAAGAAATCATTCTCGTCTCCAAGCAGGAAAATAACAAAATTCAAATTCCTAACATACACGTAATTTTTCACTCGTCATCATCATCATCCACATCCATATCCGATGCCCCCCTAGTCGCTCGTCCGCGAGTAGAGCGCGTGCTTGCCCTAGCTGATGCCAAGGCGCTGGCCTTGACGGCCGGTGCTCCCTTTCCTCTGCTTCCTCTAGGAGCGGCGAGTTTCCTTCCGTTGCTCTTTGGCTGCTCCGGCTCCGGCTCCGGCTCCGGCTCCGGCTCAGATGCCTGGTTCTCATCTTCTTCTTCAGCGGCATCTTCCGCTTCGTCATTTTTTGGTTCAGAAGCATCAGAATCGTCCTTGTCGCTGCCTTCTTCCTCCTGCTCAGATGCGCCTACGCTATCATCGTCCTCTTTGCCAT